TTTTACTAAACTCCACGTATATTATGATAATATTAGTTCAGTTTATGTCTTTATAGGTTACTGATTACAAAATATGAATATAAGTTGACATCGAAAGTGTTTTTTTCTTCTTGGATATTCTATTGGTGAGTTTAGAAATGTCAGGGTTTTCATTGGGCATCCAATCTAATTTTGTATCGTATCGTCTAGTATATAAAACTCGCTTTAATTGTATTGTATTTATCAACATCTCAAAATAGCGATATAATGGATATCACTAATCAAATAAAGAATATAACATAATGAAATATAAAAAAATAACAAAAATTGGGTGTTGCGTTTACTGTAAATAGTGACGCGGAATAAAAACGAATCGTTCCCCCAATACAAAAACGGGGGGGGGGGGGGGAGGAGAAGGAGGCTAAACATACACGGAAGAGCGGTGCTTTTCTTTTTCCATTGAATCTTCTCATATGACAACTGTTTTAAAATTAAACATCCTTATTTTCCGAGGTCAACCGAAACAAGTTATAATTATCATGTTCAAAGAATAACAATCTTACAAAATGTAATATGAACACTGCTCTCGTAAATTCCATGTCCACTTTTGAAATCACAATCAAGCGGCGTCGTATGTGCGCGGCGTCCTAAAATTTCACCAAACCATGTAGAGCCCAGCAGATCCAGGGACTGTGTACAATGAATTATCAACCCCAAGACTGTTTCCGTTTAGGGCCTAAAAATAGTCTAAAAACTGAAACCGAAGTCACTCGATGTGTATTATTATTTCCTGCTCATTTCCCATTATACTGCTCACAATATATATATATATATGATTCGAAATAGCTAGAGAGCCGCTCCCATGTGGACGACTGTTTTCTATGAACAATAACTTCGTCTGTAGAAGTAAGTGCCTGGGAGATGAGCGGTTCTATTTTTAGAACATATTTGATTGATATAAGCCTGGGGGATACATAATGCGTCTTAGTCGCTATATTATGGTTGGCATTTGACTGTCGAGTATTCAGTATGCAAACTCGCTATTTAATGTGATTATCTGTATGCGGAAGTATCCTACGCTTTTCTCGTGCCCTGCCCTGCCTAGAAATGGTGCTTATGATCCGTATATAACGCTCTTTGCTCTTCAAGACAATTTGAAGGTATCAGCTGTTGAGAGGCAGAAAGGGCGTTAACTCTGTGTTGAAGCATATGAATAGATGGACTAAAACGTCCTCCTGGTTCCGAGGATATTATGGATAACCTATATAGTTAGAAGAATCCATTGTTTAACAATGATCACATCATGCATGCTTCCTGGAAATCACTTAACATAATGCTCTTAGAGTACCTTTTAAATGAGTATAACTTATAATAAACTGCTAGGGATTCGGTATTTGACCTCCCATACACTTATTTAATTACATTGTTTTGTGTGTGTGTGTGATTAGCTTTATATGCCACATTTCATATGTGTTTGTTTATTCTATTTTCTTTTTAGCCGGACGGTATTTTTCATTGTGTTTCAAGGTACCAGGCTCGACTAGCATTCATGGTATTTTCTGGTCCCCTTTATCATTTTATGTTTAATTGTATAAAACTGTTTACGTGGTATGCGTTTATTATTGGATAATAAATTTCAAAATCAAGTTCAAATGTAAAGATCATGATGTTACGTGCATGGAATGTATGTTGTGGTGTTAGAATACACTAGTCACATCGGAGGTGAAGGGTCATTCATCCAAAATGTTGCCTAAATTAAATGGTGATGATATACAGCTCTTTTTTCTTGAATGCATGTCACGGATATGTTGATAGGAATCAGTAGTTACTATTTGAGCAATTCTGTAACAAAACCGTCCACGTTACAAATATAGGCCCGTATTATACTACAATTTTGTGCAATATCGGACTTAACAAAGGAAGTTTGTCTGAGGTTTAACAGTTCCTTTTGTTAAACGGGAATTTAGACTGACGGCCGGGTTTAAAGGCCCCATCCGATGAAAATACAACTAGATACAAATGGAAAACTGAATGAATGTAGAATGAATGAATGTACAGATATAAAGGAATACAAAGTATTTAACCTTTCATTATAGCACAAAATCAAATTAAAACCTTATTTTCGGCACCCCTCAAATTACGGGTTCAAATTTGCTGAAGTTACAGTGGCTACATAATATGTGTCCACCTATATAGTTGAGGCGATGAGCCGTGCTTGAGTAATACAAAGTCATTGCGTTTTTTGGTCAAAGCTTTTGATTTTGAGTTTTCAGAGAGCTGATACTCCTCTGACAGACACTAAAATGGCTAATATAACTGATATTTTTGTAATCTATGGATTATAAGCTTTCCGTTGATATATAATTCATCCATTTCATTTTCAGTTCGGATATGGTCTTTAACTAAATTAGGACAATGCGGACATTGGAGCTAGACGGTTTAGGATAAACAGAGAAAACCCATATCATGGATCAGAGATGGTCAAGATCTGGTAAAGATTACAAATGTGTGACCTTTCTCTATTTTCAAAGTCAATTCAGAAGGACATTGCAGTAGAAATTTCCCCTGAAATGGACTGCTCTTCAAATGCTATGATGTCGAAATAATTATGGCGCGAAGTAGCTGAAAAGTTTGGACATATATTTCCATGCCACAATCTGTAGTTCAACATGTTCTCAAATCGGTGTGAAGTACTACCGCGATTTTCAGCTAGATCAAGACAGTTTATTCTCATTTTCATCATTCTATAAACTCCCATAATCATTTTTATTTAGCTACAATTATCACCATTTCCTATTTGCTTCCAGACAGGTGTTTTCACAATGTCATCGTAGGACCAGTTATTGAACTTTATCTTTAACCTATAATTCTCGCTGAAAATACGTTATGCATTATGACATGCATATTGAATTCTATATTTAGATGCCATTATACATTAATGCATTGGTAAATTAAAAGACGGATAACAGGAAGAGAGAGATAAAAATAGAAAGAGTCCTCTACTGGTTATGATGCGATCGAAAGCAATATTACCAGTAAAGTTTCCAATTAGTTTTAAATGTCAGTAATTACGGTTAGACCCTTTTCCCCGTCTCTTCGTTACACGGAAATGTTCCGCGGTTAAAAAATAAAATGGCAAAATGCCTATACGGAAAAATTCCCATGGTATACTGTGGCAACTACTACGATAATAATAACATTAAATCATACTGGTATAAAGGTGCTGTGTATGTATATATCAGATTCAGTCTACGTGTTGACATAAGATGACGCAAAATATGATGAAGAACAGACGATTCATGCTTTAAATCCAACAGTTTCTATAAGGTCACGAATTGTCAAAGTACCTGACGTCTTTATGAGGTGATTGTGAGAAAAATGAGAATAATAAGCCTTAAATATATAAGGAATAACTGAGTCATTTAATCATTTTATGGGGATTGATGCGCTATTTTGATGCATAACATATCATTACTTGACAAAGCCCTAAGGGCGAAACTTTGTAAACAATTTTTTCGTCTACGGAGCATCATTATTTGTTGTATTTTTGTGCATTTTCTCGAACTCAAAGCAGAAATCTAGACTTTCTTCTCTACATACATACAGTAAAACCTGTATAATGAACACCGCTCAAGGAATACAAGAAAATCTTTACAGGCAGGGGGTCTTTAAGTACAGGTTTCTTTAGAGCACGTTTCAATGAGAACCACTGTTAAAGGGAAACATAAATTGTGGTCTAAAGCGGGTTCACTGTTTGTAAGTATATATACATATTTTATTCTCTATTCATGAATATATAAAATAAAGAAATTCAGAACTACCGTTTACTACCCCTTTACAATATCATTTACATCAACATATTTCCAAATAGACCGGAGTTATCGTAGTTAATAATACTGTAAACACACTGCAAAGGCATATTAATCATAATTGTTGATTTCTACTGGCATATGACATCTTTATGCTCCGCTTTATTCAATTCTACAGAACAAAGTCTAACCTTAATCTACCAGTATGATTTCAAGGAGACTTGTAAACGATCTGTTATGAATATTTTTATTGGTAATTTCTTTCCTTGAACATGTCGCTTCACCTATTATCAGTGGTACTTTCCTTAAGGATATGCAATTTCCAAGAATCAAACTTCGAAAGAGACCGGCAAAATGATGCAAAGTTATTCATTTAAACGTTGTATACAAACACACAGGATTTAATATGCATGGCAGACAATGAATAAAGGTTATCTATGTAGTGGCGAAGCGCCTGTCCCGTCGGGGGAGGGGGAGGGGTCGTAGGGGTGCTATGCCATCAAGGGGGGGGGGGGGGCTAGGAACAAATCAATCAGGACTGTGGAACAAAATGTTGATTTTGTTAATGCTACAGGGCCATTTAGAAGTGTAATGTAATATTTTCTATAGCATTCCACCCTCTCTCTCTCTCTCTCTCTCTCCCCCCTCTCTCTCTCTCTCTCTCTTCTTCTTCTCTCTTTCTCTTTCTCTTCCTCACTCCATCTCATTCTCCCCTTATTTTTGGCTCTTAGCGGAGATATAAAGGGGAGTGTGCCACACTAAAGATATGGACTGGGCGGGTACCTGTAATTTGTATTGTGATGGATAATTTTTATGTGAGTATAACAAAACAAGTGTATCGAGTCAGAGTTTTGTCAGCCGAAAAAATTCGACAAAAATTCATGATTAAGGCACGACTGAGTGGGGCAAATGATCATTACGATCATTATGACTCATGATGATTTTATATTCAGTCTGCCGTGATCTATACAGCTCACATAAAGTACTCATAACTCGGCTAAAGATGTACTTAATATTTACCATATTCACTATAAGATGCATTTAAACATTGTACAGTGTACAGTTATTGGTGAGGAATAAGATTTAACTTATACTGTCTGAATTATGACTTCAGTTTTAATCATAAGCGTTTCAAGATCTTGATTTTGATTTTGATTTTGATTTTGATTTTGATTTTGATTTTGATTTTTTTTTTTTTTTTTTTTTTTTTTTGGGGGGGGGGGGGGTCGTCAAGCATCCAAGCCAATTATAGTTTTAGCATGGAAATTACAGACTCTGGGTGTTGCGGCAAATGCAGCCTGCTTCTGTCGCTGCTGCTACTAATACTACTACTACTACTAATACTACAACTATCATTACTAATGCTACTACTACTACTACTACTACTACTACTACTACTACTACTAATAATAATAATAATAATACTGCTATCACTGTACCACCAATTAATACTACTGCGTCTACTAGTATATTCTTATGATGTGTAACGGTAAATGCAATATTCACTTTTAAAAAATACATAGAAATAACATGTGTATTAAGAGCATGATATTCAGTGTACGCCAACGTAGAAAGTTGTTACTATAATAGAAAATGGTATGAAAAATGAAATTGATGTCCATGCCCTATCCCAAAGCATTCATTTCCACACCTAAGTATACTGCATACTCAATGTATTGGGAATGCAACATTGTAATATTAGTATAATATGCTTACCTCTGTCACACCGCCAACCAGACCACAAATCGACCGATAACCGACAGAATATTGCCCATTTGGGGTAATGTAATATTTCAGTTCGCTCTACCATCTATCTGGAGTCGGTCTTGTCGGTGTGACCGGGTTACCGGCTAGAAATATGGCCTCATTTGCACCGGAAGGAAGGTACCGGCTCGGTACCCGATCTCCGGAAACCGTCATTCAAAAAAACACCTAAGAACAACAGTTTCTGTGGCTTCACTATTATCTCACCAATGCATGGTGAAATAAGACTCCCCGTAGCCATGACGGATTAAAATGTGGTTAAAAAAACGGAATCAAAATAAGACTTATAAGGTTTATAAGTTAATAGTCATATCCTGTGTTACAAAATGCCTCCATTCCTCCCCAAGTGTTTAAAAAAAAAGACATTACCGACTAAAATTATTATTAGTTTAGAGAAAAGAGAGAACAATCATTTCCTCATGCTGCGTGATTTGTTTAATGTTATCGCTGACATGTTAAGCGATGTACAGAGCTGATCCTGCATGTTTTACAAAATATATTGGGCAAAGCAGAATTGTTTTACCGAGGATTTTGTTTTAAGGATGACACGGTATATTGTTGCATACAATACTTTTTATTGATTTCGTTTTGACATGATAGCTTACATTTCAGAGAGTTAAGCAAATTGAAAGATGGGATTGCGTCGAGAACTCTAGTCAACAAAATCTCTGCGCCCGAGCACAATGTATATGACGAAGTATATCCGCATACACCCATGTCTAACTTTGACATCATCTTCTACAATCTACAGGAATTATATATAATAGCATGAGCAACAGTACTAATCATAACAAAACTTTGTTGCAAATGAGTAATCTTGCATTCATATCGTCTGTTTCTTTCTCAAAGTATTAGAATAGGTTTCAAACATTACTAACATAATTATTCTGACAAAAAAGGAGTTTAACTCTCCAACTTTTAGAAGACGTATACATGTCTACTCGGGGGTAGTTCTAACGAGGACACCCTAGACAAAAATAAGATAACAAAACTTGATAAGTGTTCTGTTCAGGTGTTCGTCATGAGAGAAGAACGTTCTTGAGCTTTGTCGAATTGTGTCCAATTACATCGATTATCGAGGTTCGGCGCACATTACTGCCTTCATAATATTATTATCACGGTTATGTCTCAAACACGACGGGAGACAAGCTTGTTTACATAAACTTGTTCTATAAATACGACACATTCGTGAAATATGTTCTGTACATGTTTGACAAATATAGATTATGCGAAGGCATCAAAAGATTATCACATTTATTGTGATAAATATATAAAGTCCAATCTCACATGCAGACAGTGAGACAGATACCCTGCCAAACAAAACACACATACCCATAAACATCACAAGTTCTGGCTTATCTTCACAATCCAGGCACTGTCTAAAACACACGTCAAACAATGTTTACTTCCCTCCTCACAAATCATTATGGACTTTGTTTCTATAAATAGTCGTAAACAGCTTAATCAAAGTAATAAGCCTTCACAGATGTCGGAAATAAAGCTATGAAAGATATTTGTGCACTTACTGTGTTTGTCCCATTGGGCTACGTGTTGCGAGCCCTTCCCCTTGGACATGTCGCCCGACTGGTCCCTGCTAAATCGAAGACGAATCTGAGAAACAAGACAGAGAAATCAAGCTATCCAAATTATGTATCACTTATTAGAAGAAGGGGATGAAAGAGCACGTCCAAGATGATTAGGTGACCAGTAGGGGTCCAGTCCTGGAGCTAGATCGTCTGAAGATAGTCGTCGTATTAATCCAAGGTTAGAAGATGTAGGACTGGTATATATCCAGGTATTAAAACCAAGAGGCCGCTCAGGTTGTGCTGGAATTCCTAGGGATGATATCAAACTGGGACATAGGAGGTAATCAGCTGTGATATGTTGTTATAAAGAAGAAATAAAGAATAAGAAGTTGCTGCGAAGCAACCTGCGGATCGACGAAGCTGTCCTCGCCCGAGCCGCTCCAAGCGATCACTCACGGTACCCGTTCTATTGTTCAGTCCTCGGTTGCATGGTCGAAAGAACTCGAATAAAGGCAATGCTCTCGAGCAAACCTCACTTAAATTATATCAACAATAGCTCAAAGGGCTTTTCCTTTACCAATAGAAGACGGTATCATGGAGAAAGTGAAAGGGAAGATAAAAGAATAGAATTATACAAACCATTATGTATCTGCTTGTGATTGTAGTCCAACGGGTAATAACTCCATTCGCTGGCTTCTTTTCGTGGAATGACCGCACTTCGATGCGAACGTTTCTCACACACACCAAAATAGATCAGCTCGCTCGGTACGTTTACTAGAGCAAGTTCTTATCTCTCGTTGGTACATCCGAGAGAAAAAATGATAACCGAAAATAGTATAACAAAACTGTGATTAAAAACAAACAACGCAATCACACGTTTTTCGTAGATAATAATTAATGTTCATGCATTTGAATGCAATGATGAATGATAAGATCGAATGATCTATAAGTGATATGATAACAATTATCAAATATTTTTCTTTATGAAATCATAATTTGTTTCTTAATGACCTTTACATCATGACAAATCGGCTTGCGTTTATTGTGGAGTAGTCGAAATAGATATATAAAAAAAAAAAAAAAAAAAAAAAAAAAAAATGATTCAACAAAATTGTCGTATGGGGTTTGGGGGAGTGGGGTGGTGGAGAGGGAGGGGAGGGGGGGGGGGGGGTAGGAATGGGGGAGAAGGCATTGAATTTAATCAAGATATGAATGAGAACACATAGCCTGGCCTGAATACTAAGCCAATGAGGCTTTCAATTCTTTATTTTATTGTATTTATCTTTTTGTATATTATTGATTTCTATGTGGAGGTGTCGTGGTATAGTGGTTCAATCGATTGACTCTCAATGTAAGGGTTTAAGGTTCAAAATTCCAGCCCGTCTAGCGTGTTTTCGCAAGATATATAAATACACACTATTTGCCTTTTTCCATCCAGGTGTAAAACAAAAGATACACGTCAATAATGCAAGGGTAATACTGATTGCAGGTCTGCAGGGCCCGCAGAAAAAGCAGTATCAATACTGATGTAGTTATCCTGGGTAAACAAGACCCAAATTAGTCTTAATTAGCATATCCATGCGCATTAAAGTGACTTTAACATATTTTCTCCAATACATGTCATGTATATAAAATTACCCATCGAATGCATAATCAATACCAATAAGATGAACATGTGAGGAAGGTAACAGCTATAGCATGAAGCCATAAGTTCAAATAAGAAGTACAAAAGGGGGAGAGTGGCTTGTCAAGAAAGGAAGAAAAGGGGGGGGGGAACGTTGGTATCATAACGACAACAATGTTGTGGAGAAGACGAAATGGGAAAACAACAAAAGAACTTTTTTTTTATAATTTGTGTAGAATTCCGGGAGGAGGGGGGGGGGGGGGGGGAGGAATTGGAGAATTCGGGTTCAATCGAGGTCGTGCTGATAGAGCGGCTGATCGATGCAATTATGGACCCGAATCTAAAAATAGCTAGACTCTGAACCTGAATTTATTATTAAATAAACAAAGATAAAGTTTTTAGCCCCCGTGTCAATTCCGGAGCTGATTTATGATGGCAAGTGTCGTATTATCATGTCTAGTACATTGCATGCTTAGTGACCGTTCAGTATATTATGTCTAGGGAAATGTATAATAATGTGACTTAATGTCCGTGTGTTTATAGGGACTGGAATACAAAATCGAAGAAAAGATGTAAGCCCAACAAGCATACACACTTAACTTTTCTTCCAGGTTAAAATATTTAGGGTCTAAAGAGAGAGAGAGAGAGAGAGAAAGAGAGGGAGGGAAAAAAAAAGGGGTGAGAGAGAGATAGAGAGAGAGGGGGAGAGAGGGAGAGAGAGAAAGAGAGAGAGAGAGAGAAAGAAAGAAAGAGAGGAAGAGAGAGAGAGAGAGAGAGAGAGAGATGGAGAGGGAGAGAGAGAGGGGGCGGGGTAGGAGGGGAGGAAAGGAAGCAAGCAGACACCGATATAGCTTCTTCTTTATAAAAAAAAAAGGGGGAGGCACTTCATTTGAAGAGAGCCATTATAAACTAAAATGTAGACATTGCAACAAAGAGTATTTAACTGAACAGACCGAGGTTGAAAAGATGAAATAAAAAGAAGATGAACGCATGAATAAATGCAATACGGGTGAAACATGTCCTCCCTTTCTTTCAACAAGTGGATGTATGATACGTGATAATGAAGCAAGAACCAAGACATGGGCGGTGAGAGCCAGGGAAACTCATCACTGCGGTTGAATTACTCGTCAGCCCCTTGTCGCTTTGACTCCAAGAAATCGGCTAAATTCACACTGTCAAGCGTTGTGGCTTCGAAGAATTTCCATGGTGACTACAAAGTGAGTCAAAACTTTAGGGGAGGATGTTTACAATTTGTTTGTAAGTTTAATTAATTGGTTGTGGTCAAAAAAATAGTTTCCATGGTAAAATAGAAAAGTTTTACGGAAGGCTTTTTATTATCCTTGACTTGGGTGAGATCATTCTTGTGTTTGTATTCGATAGATCACGTAAACATGTTCGCTCCTTTCTTCAATATTTTGCTATAAAACAAACAAAACACGACAACAAAATTTAACACTTTATCAGTAGCAAATATCAGGGGGAGGGGGTGGAGGCACATCTGGCCCGTTGGCATACGTTGACTGCACAAAACTACCCCCTATTTGTGTTTGTGTGCCCCTTTCAAATTCAAGGAGTTTCGAACATTTTTTGGTGTGTGTGTATTTCACTATTTGTCCATACAAAAAATATGAAGATAATAATGATAACTAGAAAAGATTGCATTAATGATGATGACGACGATACTGAGCTAGAATGATGATGATGGTACTGATGATGATGATGAAGATGAAGATGGTGATGATGATGAAGATGATGATGAAGATGATGATGATGATGGGGATGATGATGGTGATGATGATTTGACATTTTGTTCCGTTGGGGGGGGGGGGTAAGGTCACTTTTTTCTTCTTTTTTTTAAAGAAAAAATTAAGAGGGGGGGGGGGTCACAAAAAAACCATACACAAAACATATACATAAAAAAAAACTCAAGGGGGGGGGGGGGTTATGGGATGGGCGCTCGCATCCATAACATAAAAAGTGCATATTGAAAATACGTGTAAAAAAGGACAGTAATACTGAACATCAGTATTAGGCATGGCTAGAATACTTAAACACATGTTTCGTTGATATATTGTCGTAACCGACAATGACAAACGACATGCACACCTGTTTGGTAACGCTATTGCCTCATTGTAATGACGGCTTGTGATGACGTCATTTCCTCACAACGTCAAGCTCAAACCCAGTCTCTTGCTCTTCCACTGTCCTCTATGGAAAAGTATCTATCTATCGTTCTATCTGTCTATCTATTTATCTATTCATCGGTCTGTCTATCTATGTATTTATCGGTCTGTCTGTCAGTCTATCTCTCTATCGGTTTGTCTGTCTATCTATCGGTCTATTTATCGGTCTGTCTGTCGATATAATCTTCGATTATGTATCTGTATGTCTATCTATCTACCTATCTTTATATCTATATATCTCCCTGTCTGTCTGTATATATCTGCCTGTGTCTATTTTGTTGTATATATCCCTTGTCTTATCTTTCTGTCTCCATCATTTTTTCCTCATCATCTTACTTTATCTCCGTCTCTCACTTCCCTCTCATATTGATTCCTCTCTTCATGTATTTTCTTTTCTCTCTCACCCTCTCTCTTTTACCACCTTCTTTATGATACATTTCTCTTTATACTTCTTTCTCTTTATTTTTCTTCCTCTCTCTCTATCTCTACCCCCATCTCTATCATCCCTCTGTCCCCCTCCCCCTCTTTCTCTCACATTGTCTCCTAATGTGCCTGTAGCTGTGTCAGACTCTTACTCTTCTATACTTCTCTTATCTTCTATTTCCATCTTCTGAAATAACGATAACAGTCAATCAAACAAACTAGAGAAATAGAGCACGCGAAGAGGGACGACTGTCCATGTCAATAATGACGTCACGCATACATCATCGCGGTTTTGCCAATTGGAGATTCCCATGGTATCCCTGAAGAGACCACTGATCTGAATTTAACCAAATTGACGTCTTACTAATCACTATGAACATGGCAGACAATGAAATCGGACAAAATATACAGTTCCTCAGGTAGACAAAGGAAAATCCCTTCACTGCTATTATGTAAAAAAGTGTATAACAGGTGAATATGCATGTGACACCTGTTCTACACATTTTTACATAAAAGCAGTGAAGGGATGTCCCTTTGTAACCTGAGGAACTGTATATTTTGTCCGCTTTCATTGTCTGTCATGTTCATAGTGAATTCGAATACCTCGGCCAAAACCGCACCGGTGAGACCAACAACGCATAGAACAAGAATTTGCATTACAGGAGTCGCCAGGAATCGGCCATTTTGGGAGTCGGTCTGACCGAGGTATCACATTAACTTTATAGCCCCTTTTGATACCGCATTGATAACAATATCGTTGCCTTCCTATCCCAGAAGGGAGATTCAAATATTGACGTCGGCGTTTGCGTCGAAACCCACTTATTTTGCTCTTTGAGTCCCAAAATATCGACGTCGTCTAATTTCTTGTCTTTCAACCGCAAATAGTCACATCGGGCTTCAAGCCCTGAAAAATAAAAACGGCCTAAAAATCCCCTCAAACCACGTCAAAAATCCACCCAATCACTCGTATGATAGATATGCATTGCTCTTGATTGTTTTTTTTTGGAGGGGGTGTTATTTAGATTATCTTCATTTAAATATATATGACTGAATGAGAGTTATACAAATATTCAAATAATATAGTGAGTACAGAAACATTTCTGCCCACTCGTATGACAGATATGCGTTGCTCTAGGCTTTTTTTGTTTGTTTTTGGTATCAATACTATCATCTACATATAGATTTGATTGAATGAGTTATACAAATATTGTATTCAAATAATATGGTTGACACTGATTAATATGTAAATGCACATGCATATGTAATTCTAATGAGTAATGCAATTTGTATGAGTATATGTAATTCACACACACATGTAAAACTTTACAAATAGAAAAGAGAGAAGTTAAGACAGAGATGGATGAGAATAAAAGAATGAGAACATGAAAATGAAATCAAACCAAAAGTTAGGAAAGACAACACAGAGAGCAAGATCAAAATCTTAAACTGAAGCCCAGTGCACAATTCACGATCGACCTGCTTCGATTCGATTTCCATCCAACAGTTAAAGGGCAGTTATGTTTTAAATGAAAATCTAAAAACCACTTATCCTCTAGATTTAGCTTCTAAATAATGATAACAATATTTACTGTAATTTCAGTGCATTTCACTCTTCTAGTCAGAATAATAGCCAAATCATGGACAATCGCACTACTTCTGGTCTGACGTCACTACGATTCTGAGCCCATTTAGCTTTTTCCCCCTCTCCAAAGAAGCATGAAATAACTTTGATATCTAGATTTGATTATCTTCAGTCGTTAAGATTTTCAAATCTAATGCCATCACAAATTTATAAAAAATCGGATCGTAGTCAGACCATATAGTCTGCGATGGCTCTAAAGGTAATACAAGTTTTGGTAATGTTTTCAACAGGATTGGATTATGATATTTAAAATTTGCGTTACTATTGTGAATCCTAGTGTTAGAATAAGAAACTTTGCAAAAATTGGGCTCTAAAACGCTAGGGATTTCGAGAAATAAACATATCAAATGTATCGGTGTTCCCGATACAAGGATATATAGCTGCGACCATGAAAATCTCGGAATATGCAGTTGTGATATATAATTTCCAAACGGAAATAGAAAATCGTTCAAATTTAGTCAAGAAACATTGTTTTGAAGCTAATCTTGAGAGGGAGCTATAAAACATAAACAGATTATTTTTCACATTTTCATCAATTTAGACTCGATTTCAACCGCGACAACGATCATTGAATATTGTAAACTCGCATATGCTTCCGATATGTTCATTTGATCCAAATTTGTGACCCTATACCAAACTTTGTATTACCTTTAATGGAGCAGAAAAAACTCCTCTACCTTCTACCCGACATAAAGACACACAATCTACAAGAACACTTTGGTTGATATTTTTAGACACCATCGACCTTTTATCTTTCTGCATTTATTTCAACGTGGACTGCACATGAGACTAACGATATAAATAAATGAATATTACAATACAACACTTTTTTCTTTAATACTAACAGTTTAAAAGTATCAAATTATTACACATTAAAATACGACACGTTATCAAAGAGAGAGAGAGAGCAAAAATGTAATTAATAATAACTCAAAAATATATTAGAAATTTCTATAAGATAAACAATCAACAGCAAAATAATAGAAAAAAAGAAAGAAAAAACTGGATGCATCCTCAAATAGAATCGGAATAGGTTATATGGTTTGTGAGATGGGAATTTACAGACTCTTTTTTAAAACACGTTAGGGTATTTAGCACCACATTGAAGTCCAAAACCTGGATACTTAAAATAGCATTTAGCATTCTTGTAAAAGCCAAAGCTTCTACGATTATAAATATCTTGCACGGGGCCGGTTTCACAAGACTTGTTATCAATAATTTTATGGAACATGTGGGAGAGGGTCAAAATGGTGCATGAGATACAATGAATGCATCGGTTTGACGATATTAAGCTAGTTTCATACCAGGAAAACATATACATACAATGGTAAATTAATGCCATTAGCAAAAGACCTTCCTGCTAAACTGTTTTCTTGGATTTCTAGTATTCAAATTTAACCGACCATATACACGAACAGTTTTTTGGACACAAAAGAAACATATTCGACGGGGATGATATTGAAGTGCCCAAAAAGAGAGGACAATTAAACTCCACTCACTCCGACTACAAAATGATCGACAACTCCAAGGGGACTGTTTACACACAGAAGGAAATCAGATTTACGTACATAGTCTGAACCATCTCCATTGGTGACCACCTCTTTATAAAGACCACCTGTCTATAGTGGCCATGTACACCGTCTCCAATAACAGGAAGAAATATGAGTAGCAGAAGAAGCCGTTCAGAATGGCCATCTGTTGGAGATCCCATACTTTTGTTTAGTCATAATCAAATTTCGATTTCATCCTCTTAAACTTAAGTTGTTAATGGAACCAAGAGCCCTTAAAGCTTATCTGCCATAGTTTACAGGAGGGATTAGACTGCCCTGCAAGGTTACTGGACAGGTGGTTCTCTCATCAACTCAGCTCTCAGTTAACATAAGAAAAAGAGGATCATGGGGGACCAATGGTCACCGATTAGGCATTGTTTGTTATATAGAGGGCGCAAGTAGCTACAAGTAGTGCAGTAAGAAAAAGAGGATCATGGGGGACCAATGGTCACCGATTAGGCATTGTTTGTTATATAGAGGGCGCAAGTAGCTACAAGTAGTGCAGTGGGCCTTTAATGGAACCAAGAGCCCTTAATGAGTAATCCCCATCCCCTTTTAATATTTCATATGTATTTTTAGTGTATGTTATTTTCGTTTTGTATATATTTATGTTACCATTATTATGTTGAATTATGTTGTATATATGTTATTTTGATATTGTATGTTTTTATGTGTATGCACGGCCCTACAGAAGAACAGTCCGCGGGCTGAGGTAGGCCTCCGTGTTCAAATAAATAAATGAAATGAAATGAAGTTCACTTTTCTCGTAGTTCAACAACATTCATGCAGTATTGTATTTCTATGTTTTTTTTAACCAAATGTGGAAATAAACTTGAATTGAAATTGAAATGTTCAGGACTCGATAATTCATCTTCAGTGCACAAACTTAATGCATGCTGGAATGAATAATTTCATCCTGTGGATATAATGACTCTATTCTCAAAATACTGTTTGTGCATATTTCACTGTTTAACAAGCATTCCCTTTGATACCAAGGTGTTAAGCATTGTTTGGCAGTCTCCAAAATAAAAATACAAGTAAATTAAATGCTACTTGACAACTTATATAAAAAGTAGAAACAGTAAAAATGATGATTTCATGTCTGTGGCCCTGTGAATATTAAAATATTCACTTACTTCTTGAAATTGTAGATTACTCCCAAAATATGGCATGTAAACAAAATACCATAATCATAAAACACAGATAAATTTCAGTGCATGAAACAGAAGAATGTTGACAAATGCTGTGGTTTCTTTTAGAAGAGTCCTATAAATATTGCCATACATACCTGAATATTTCTTTTTGCAAGGAATATCACCTGATATTTTTTTCCTCAGTAAAACACGGAGGGTCAACTTTTTAACAATTTGGACTGATTTTAGCCCCTCAATCTATTTAAGCTCATGTATTTTTCTACTAATCCCCCCCCCCCCCCCCACCCAAATTTACCATTTTGAACTAGCCGACATACCCAACTATTACTGCTTTTGCATTCCGGAAGCGCTTTTCATGCCATTGTATTTTACTAAGCTACTGTCATTGAAGGTTTGTGGTAAAAAGATCTTTTTGAAAATTGTCTTCATTTAAAAGCTGAATAGGACCATTATTTTATTTCCTTCCTAGACTTGCCATTAATGTATAAGATGTTGAATGGTTTCATTAAAAGAGTACCGAGCTGTGACATCATACAAATCTATTTTTAGAAATTCTCAATTTTTTCTTCATTTTCCAAAAGAGCATCAAAAATAATGTCCAAATGTCAAAAACCTATTAAATATGTTAAGTATTGACTAAGATATGACCATCTGAATAAATATACGGTATGTCCTATGGGAACTCAGTGTTATAGTGCTCTGGTTCCTAATGTTATGAACAAAGAGCACTATAACACTGAGTTCCCAAAGGACATATATTTATTCAGATGGTCATATCTCAGCTAATACTTAACATATTCAATTTGTTTTCGACATTTGGACATTATTTTTGATGCTCTTTCGGAAAATGAAGAAAAAATTGAGAAATTCTACAAATAGATTTTTGATGACGTCACACTTCACCACTCTATACAGTACACTGGCCTTTTTAATAAATCACACAATTATGAGTTAAATCATTACAACATGAGTTTAAAAACCGAGTTAATTCTCAAAAACAAAAATCAGACAACAGCGAGATGCCATGGCTAACAGTGACTAGATCACAAAACATATGTCATTCTTTTAATTTTCGAGAAGATTGCAGCACTTACATTCTGGGAATGGTTTCTTTCTGGACAAAAAGTAAAACATTGCAATAGAAGAAGGGATATCAGAATCAAAGAATCGGTGGTTTGTTTCTGAAAGCAGTTTGCTTGGTTACGGGCATGAAAACAAACAGTTATTTGTGCACTTGGATGAGAAAAATGTGTTCTTACAATAAAGTTAAAATGTATGCCATTAAAACGTAATAAAATGAACAGTGAGATTGTAAAACTTGGAAAATGAGGGCTCAACATATTAAAAAACGAAAATCAAGACTTTCAAAATATTGAAATGTAGCGAACTGCCAACAGCGAGAGACTTTTGCAAATTCCCCCAAAAGTTGTGTCATGCCAATCGTAATTCAATTATTTTCGGGCATGAAGCTTTCTCAAAGAAATGGACCAATAGCGTAACTCCCGAGCATTTCTTTCAGTGTCCGGTCTGCAGATATCCTGAATATTGCCTCCTTTTAATACTTATCCGAGTTTTAGTTCTTCCTTAAAATGGACGTAAACACTGGTTCAGAAGAATACTACTATGATAAGATGGTGCGGCACTCCTCCCACTTTTATGTCACCGATCGCTCTTCTCCTCATTTGCATGGGCTGTGACAAAGATGGAGGGGGGCTTCTCGCAGGTGTGTGCGTTTCCACAAAACAAAACAATAACGTTGCATGAGATGAGAATGGAGTTTCTTTCTCTTAGCGTTCCTCTACGAATAAAGTCTCCTGTGGGCACAGGCCCAGCTCCTGGAGGTCTTGATGTCCATCCAAGCTGGTGAGCTGCATTCAAGAAGGGAAGGAAAACAGGAGAGGGGGAGGGGGATTAATATTAAATATACAGAGGAAAAAAAGTGAGGAGAAAGAGAGGGGGAAGGGGGGGGGGTGATAGAAGGAAAAAGAAGGTGATAGAAGGTGAGAGAGAGAGAGAGAGAGAGAGAGAGAGGGGGGGGGAGGGGGAGATATAGGGTGGGAGAGATAGAGAAGAGGGTGAGAGAGAGAGAGAGATAAGAAATACAAGGTAAAACTCTGAAAGAACTTCATAAACAGTAGTAGCATAATCTGTTTCTGCAATATGATATGAATAGTGTAAGCCCACCAAACCAGGTGAGACTAAAGATTTATACATTTTATGTGCATGGCTAAACCAAATACACCTCGCTTTGGCCACGTTGTAAGAATATTGTGCGTATCAGAGTTATTTCCCTTGGATATTAGGAAGACCAGAATGGCCTTGTGAATCATCTTTTGAAATGCGTAAACATTACATTGATACGTTATATATGATTTCTGCGGACGAGACAGTAGGGCACTGAAAGAATCCTTGAGCTGATTTCCTGACAGTCTCTGTGACCATACTAATCCTATTTCTTCCATCTCTCTTTGGTAAAGAAGCAAGAATCTTGTGCTTGTCTCAGTGTGATAGCCTTTGAACTCCACAAAGATTAGAAGTCTAGCTATGTCCATGTCTATGGCTAATTAAATAACATGTGCCTTTCTTTTATATCTCATCATTTAAATAGAAGTAGTCGCATTCCAATTGTTCCTCTATCTCTCTCTCTGTCTCCTGAAGCAAGTAAGTTTTTGTCATTTTTTTGCCTGTTTAAATTATCATACTTTGCTGTCGCTGTAATCCTGTAGACCTTGATGCACTTCAAGCGCAAGCTTATGCTGCAGCTCTTCTACCTTTGCTATGTCAATCCTTCCCAACCTTTTGTTTCATAAATTGTGCTATTCATCATGATTTGGAAAAATATTACCACTACGGGTATGTACAAAATGTTACTGATTATTAATGTATGAAAAATGCAGAAATCAAATAATTTAGAAGTCTACATATTATACGTTTATAGCTAGTCTATCTATAATTTCTCTACAGCTTACGTCTCTCTTTGGCCATGTCGTAAGAATCTTGTGTGTGTCGGAGTGATAGCCCTTAGAGCCTAGGAAGTCTAGCACCATCTGCACCTTCTCGGAAGCCAGGAACCTTCTCGTCATCATCTCTCCCGTTGGCAGCCTCATCCTCAACGTGCTGATCGGTAGGTCGGAATCCTCGTCGGGCTCAACGGCTAGCTGCTGCTCCAGGGATAACCTTATTGCCTGACGGAGAAGAGACACAGAGTAAACAATAATATCAAATATATTCAGTTCTTGTTTAGCGCATAATACATAATGAAATAACATCTCTATGCGCTTCCAAGGTAACCCGACACATGCTCCGGCGACGATTACTCCGGTGACAAATGCTCCGCAAAAAGCGACCATTGCTCTGCAACATTTGCTCCGCGACACTTGCTCCGATGTCAAATGCTCCGCCGACAGTTGCTCCGCCGGCATTTGCTCCGCCGACAATTGCTCCACTGACATTTGCTCCGCAGACAATTGCTCCGTCGACATTTCCTCCGCCGACAATTGCCCCGCCGACATTTCCTCCGCCGACAATATTTCTTTCATGTGTTATTGTTTTTGTTTTGTTGTTGTTATTGAGGACCGTAGTAGGCATTTTGAGAAGGGGGGTGCATTTTAATTCCCTATCAGAGACACTGATGGAAAAAAGTGATAAACCTTTGTGAAAGACGCAATTCTTTTTTTTGGGGGGGGGGGGGGGAGGTGAAGAAGCTTATAAGTAATATACAGTTTTCATCCTTTTCATAATAACACAAAGTTGTTGGCCAATGCAAAAATATGGAAATTAAAGGGATCGTTTAACAATGCTAAATCTGAGATACAGGGTTCTACATGTTACCAGTGTCTGTGATATGGTGTAATATTGAAGCCCTAAATAAATCGCGCTTCAAAATCATCAAGAAGTGCCTCAAAAAAGTAAAAATCTTTGAGTGACCGGTTTTTACCATACTCGTTTTCCCCAATAGACTGTAGTGTTATGAAAACCGTTCAGCGAACGGTTTTCAAAATTTGTTATTCCAATCATTAATATCTTGATAATCAGACAGGCGATCGGCTTGTAAAAGTCATGGAGTTCCTGACTGACCTAAAGGTTTGTAATTATCATTGCAGCATGAGCTAACTCGAGGATTATTTTTAAAGGATCTAAGACAAAGTTACCGGATCCCTTTAAATCTTGCTCTATCTATTTTGTGTCCCTTTTCCCTTGTCTTTAGCATTTTCTTTTCTTGACCTTTTCTTTCCATGTTTTCTTGTCCTCTTCTTTTCTTTTCTTTTCCTTTCTTCCTATCTTTTTTTCGCTGCAAAAGGGAGCATTTGTCTTTTACAGGGCACTCCTGTTACATCGGCAGAACATTTGTCTTCAACGGGGTACTTTGAGGAAGGAGTATTGTTGGAGCATTTGAATTTTACAGGGCACTTTTTTGGCGGAGCTGTCGAAGGAGCAAATTACGGGGAGCAATTGTCGGCGGAGCAACTGTCTGAGGGGGAATTTGAAGTCGGAGCAAATGTCGCAGAGCAATTGTCACTTTTTGCAGGGCATTTGTCGGCGGAGCAAACGTCGGCAGAGCAATCGTCGGGGGAGCATGTGTCATGGATTTGCTTCCAAAGAACTTAGGGAATTATTACCTAGTTTTAGCTCCGGCAGCGGTTATCAGCGCACAGTGCATTTCAAGGAATAATCCTACTAGGTACCCGATTACCTCACCTGGGTTGAGTGTGGCAAATGTAGATTAATGTCTTGCCAAAAGGCATGAGTGCCGCGACGGGACTTGAACCACAGACCTTGTGATCCACAGTCCAGTGACATATCCACTCGGCCACGGCACCTCTACAATCGACTAGCACTTGCGCTAACTTGTAGTTCCCCATAACAACTTCACCTGATTATTAGTAATCCCTACATTTATTTGTATATCTTGTACATTAAAGATAAAGTTGAGTTCTGGTCATGGGATTGCATTGTGAAAGAAACGTTGTGGAATTGATCAGAAAAAGTTGATCCTGTAGCATATAAGTATTGGGTATATTGCAAGGTTCTGGAGTCATCAAAATGATAAGAAATTTGGCCCAGTCTTGGTAAGTAACAAGCACTGTACACAGAAAGATGTATATGGGACTACACAAACTTGTGGCATAAAAATCAGGCCTCATTTTTAAGGTGTTACTTGTCATATTTAGAATATGGAGGCATTTGAAGAGCCATTTCAGGGAACATTTTATCTCTCATTTACATTTTTTCTCTGATTAAACTTACTCTTCTTTTATGAATTCATGTATCATTATTATTCTTTAAATTGTATGATTTTTTTTATATACTGTCATTATTGTTATGTTTTGTTGTTGTTAATAAAGTCAATTCAATTAAATTCGATATTACTGATAAATATTCTTATTTGTATTGTGAATAGTTTTTGGAGGTTTGATATGTGTATGAAGGATTCAGATACAAATTGTAGAACTTCAAATGAAATAATTACAATGCATGTGGTAAAGGGGACACCCTGCTTTCTTATCTTACAAACTATTTTCTAAATCCGCATACCGGTACATATTTACATTTGGAAAAAAGGAAAAGAGACAGAATCATTATGTACTTTCACAAGAAGACATCATCATAATGACAGAGAGATATATGCCATACCTCTTCTTCTTCTTTCTTCATCTGTTCATCTTGTTGTTCTTTCATGATCCTTGCTCCTTCTTCTCTCTCTTGTCGTTCCTTCTCTTCTTGCTGAAGAAAAAAATCAAAGAAAATCAAAGAAAATATTCAAGACTCGAAATATTGAACAAAGGTTGTTCCCTCTTGACCCTCTGTCCTTCTTCTCTCTTTCGTCTTTCCTTCTCTTCTTGCTAAAAAAAAATCAACAAAAAAAAATCAAAAAAATATTCAAGACTAGAAATATTGAACAAAAGTTGTTCTCTCTTGACCCTCTGTCCTTCTTCTCTCTTTTGTCTTTCCTTCTCTTCTTGCTAAAAATAAAATCAAAGAAAATATTCAAGACAAGAAATATTGAACAAAGGTTGAGACTGTTGAGTGGTGCCAACACATGTACGAGGGCAGCGTCACTCCTTTTTATTTTGTTTGAAACAGGATGTTGTCATAAGCTCTCACAGTTTCCTCCGTTTATAATCCAGGGCCCCGTTTCATAAAATTTGTTATTAATAACGCTTAGAGACTTCGGTGGAAAGCGCTTTATAAGCACCCTTTTTATTATTATATTATTACTATTATTTTATTTTTTGATAACAAATGTTAAGATACTATGACAACGTTGATGGAAAGTGCTTTATAAGCACCCTTTTTAACAATTATTATTATATTATTATTATTATTATTATTATAATTTTTACTAGACGAAAGCTAAGATACTATGACAAATTTGCTCTCAGCCAACCGATTGCCAAGATTTCAGTAGCTTATAACTTGTTGGAGCTCGTTACTGACAAGTTTTTTGAAACGGGGCCCTAGTGTCACTTACCAAATCCTCCTCGAATCATTGGCTTTCTTTGATCTGACCACAAGATTAATCATATTCATAAAAATGTATAAAAACTTTCTAGGTCAAAGACCTGCTCTTCAAACACACCATGCTGCTTTTCGAAACCGGATCTAAAGAGTTTCACATCGCCTGCATTTACTTCCCTCCTCTGACAACATGAATCCAGGTCTTCACATTTCCTGGCTCAATTTTTGTTATACTTCTCTCACATCGTCTCCTTTTACAGTACGGTAAATGAAGTAACCACTCTGATCATATCCACTTTCCTTTTTTTGTCCTTTCTATCCAAATACGGGTCTTGTTTCACAAAGCCTGGTAACAATCATTTGACCAACCATGATGTCATAATGCCAAGAACTGGTATTTCCCCAATAGGGTATAACGCACCTTCTGCTCAAACAAAACATGCCACTATTCAAAACAGGATCTAAAGAGTTTCACTCTCACTGTTTCTCCTTCCTGCAGTTGGAAAATATTAATTCAGAGCCTTGTTTTATAAACAGCTGCGATCGATTCCAATATATTGCAACTCTGTATTAAAAGAAATACAACTTTGAGTTTGCGATTGACTGGAAGACTAGCAAGGTCTTGTTTTTAAAACCCTTAGCTGATCATTTTTCCTCTCGTATCAACATGGACGTTGGGAGTAAGGAATAAATACAGCTGCGTTCGATTTCCAATATATTGCAACTCTGCACTGAAAGAAATACAACTTTTAGTCTGCGATTGCAAGGCCTTGTTTTTAAGACTCTTAGCTGATCATTTTTTCATTCATATCAACATGGATGTTGGGAGTAAGGAATTGGTTACTTTTTCTCAGTCTGAGACCAATTTCATGGTTGGTCAAATTATTGTGACCAGTGTTTAATAGTGAAATACGGAAAGGAGATGGTACGTAAGAAGAGTGGCCTTCAACTTTACAGTACTTGAAAAAGTCTTTGACGATGTGTGATGGTGACAAGACTCTGTCGGGGCTTCTAGAATGAGACCAGAATTCATATCCTTTTCAATAAAGAGGACGGGAGTCTACGTAGGAAGAGTGAACCCGCGAGTAGATCCTGTTTAAGCACAGCAGCATCCATCCTCTGGAACACAAATGCAGGTTGTCTTATTCTTAGGCTTCCTGGATACATCATTCCTGGAACTCTCATAGGCAACGAGGCAGTTTGCAGTAAGGAAGATACAGTGAAACCTGTCTATAAAGACCACCCAAAGGAGACAAGAAAAGTGGTCTTAACAGACAGGTGGTCTTTATGTACATGTGGTCACTGAAGCAGGTTTGACTGTATTACCTTTGCTCTGTCTACTATTAACGATTCTTGGTACGCCTGGTCTTGTTCCATCTTCAACATCTCTGATGCTCTCCTCCCCTCCTGAAACCCAAGAGAAAAAGGAGACGAGTTCAGAAGAGATAATCAGACAATATTCATTGGACTTTGAGATTGACGATACTGGATACAGGTGAGGAATGTTATTGTATTATATTGTAATAATGGTTTTCAAGATAATCTTCAGTTATAGTTGTGACAAAAAAAAAAGAAAGGGTTCAATGAGAAAAAGAAGAGAAAAACATGGTATGTCTTGGAGTATCATCAAGAAAATATCTAATATTGGTGAGGACTGTAAAGAGTATTATTATGTTATGGATGGATTAAATATAACCTAACTGATACTTACTCACAAACATAGCATGAGAGGTCTTTATTGAAAGTTTGATGATAAAAAATATGCTTCAGCAGTTGACTTGTGTTGTGTCTGTCATTGTGAATATCCTTAGATTGATCACTTCAGAAATGCTGGTACGCATGTTGACAGGGTATGGAGTGATGTGAGTGAAGTGACGCAAGTGAAGTGGTATGAAGTGACATGAATATCTTATTTTGCCCACAGTGTGTGTGGGCAAGCACTGAATCCAATGACCGGGGTAATAGTATATTTGTAAAGCGCTTAGAGACATTTGTATTAAGCGCTATATAAAAATTAAATATTATTATTATTATTATTATGAATTTGGGCAATGGACTTGGCATGTTTATTTGATTCTTGCACATACACAACAATTTTACACCTAGTCTTACACTACTTATTTTTATTACTGCAGAGAGAGAGAGAGAGGTAAGGTGGGGGGGGGGGGCAGACAGAGAAAAGGAGCTAGAGAGAATAGGGAGATAGAGTGGTATAGTCAAGAGAAGGGAGAGAAGGATTGAGGGAGAGAAGGATAGAGGGAGAGAAAGAGAGTGGGCAAGAGAAAGAGAGATAAAGGATTGAAAAATAGATTGAGTGAGAAATTCATCACAAAGAAGCAAGTTGACAGAGTACCAGAGAAAGAAAGAGAGAGAGAGAGAGAGAGAGAGAGAGAGTGTGAAAAGGAGAGAGCAAGAGAGAATGGATACATACCTCTTGGACCACATCTGCATGTTGCTGTGTTTCGAAGAATTCCACAGCTTGCATTAGACTAGTCAAGAGTTCACCATGTGATAGGTTACCTGTTGGAAACACATAGAAATGGAAAAATAGATGACCCCTCACAAAAATTGACATAATTATGCTTCATGTTTGCTCCACTGATTTAATGCCACATATTGTATTTGCCGACAACCCAATAAACTCAAATGCACTTCTTGACATCTGCTACATAGCTATAAAAATGGGGAAAAAATGGGGGGAAAAAATGGGGGGAAAAAAAAAAAAGAAAAAGAAAGACAGAAAGACAGAAAGAAAGAAAAAAAAAATGACATTTTAAAACTTGTATTTCAATAACAAGTTACAATAACTGTTAAAAGCTACTGAAATTGTTGCATTTGATTGGCTGAGAACAAATTTGTCAATGAAATTTAGCATTTGTTATTGATAACAAGTTTTTATGTAAAAGGGCCTAGAAACATCATGTTCACTAAGATCTACATCAGCCCACCCCCTTTGATTTTTCCTTCCCAAATCCAAAAAAATAAACTGGGTTTAATTCTGTGGGATCGGTTGCCTCACACCTCTGAGGATTAATTTTTCTGCATTTTGTCTGTTCGGAGCCAGAACGACGTTAGCTCTGTGTAAACGTGTGTGAGTCAACGCCCATCTGGCTCCTAACAGACGCACTATGAACATGCCTGACAAAGAAAGCGGACAAAATATACAGTTCCTCAGGTAGACAAAGGAACATCCCTTCACTGCTATTATGTAAAAAGGTGTAGAACAGGTGTCACATGCACATTCACCATTTTACATAATAGCAGTGAAGGGATGTTCCTTTGTCTACCTGAGGAACTGTATATTTTGTCAGCTTTCTTTGTCTGTCATGTTTATAGTGACGATTTCTATGATACAGCACTTCACTTGACTTCTTAAAAGCATTTTCAAACAAACCCACACCAATTCACATAGGTAAGGGCAGCTTCTCACAAAACTGTTAAACTTAATACACGCATTTCAATGGGATGTCGGTGAACTTGTATGACGATTTGTGAGAAGCTGCCCTGGACATCATATCCTATGGAAAAGGGACTGTATGCATCCAATTTACTTTCATTTTCATTATAATACATTATGTTGAAATACGATCATATCAAATCAAAGTCCACTTTAATTCATCTCACCTTGTAATACCGAGAAGACTTCTGTGCTGGATCGTATCCTCATCGCCAACAGTAACAATGGAAACTTATCCTGCTGTAAATTCTTTAACGTCGAGGCTGTTACACTGCCAAATATTCTAGTGCATACTGCTAATAACCTGTGAGATAGAGATTAAAAAAGAGTACATGAAATACATTAGAGAGACTGGAATAATACTTGAATTAAAGTGAAATGCATTCTTGAAGTTCCATACAGTGATAATTAAAAACAAAAAACAGATTTAATACAAAAAATTTTCAGAAATAGACAAAAATTGTAGATTTTTTTGTGAAAAAGAGAAATTACTAACTTTTTAAACCTTAAAAGAAGAAGGAAGAATTAAATGAAAGTTGATCAAATGACTAAAGAGGATTACTAATATGTCATTATAAAATACACAAGCATCTGTTTTCACAACCAATTTGTTTATCCCTAAGTATCTCCAAACTATTTATGATGATACAATTCACAGATCAAGTATCATTCTGATTCTAAATAAAAATTTAAATATCTCAAAGTGAGGAATAATTTGGAGTCCCTGATGGGAAAAACAATTTGTCCAGCCACACAGAAATCTTAAAATTGAAGCTGTTTTGTGATCTAGACCAATGAGTTAATAAAAAAATGTTACTACTTAAAGATGCATAGTAGTGGGCTCTCATGGGGAATTTGTTACCATTTGAGTGCTCACCCAATAACAGGGTGTTGTCAAATCACCAAGATTATCCTTCAGTTTTATAAACAACGGGCCTTATGTAATGCTTTGCATTATCCACTCATTCCCAAGTATGGTACAGTCATTATCTTACGGTTCCCTCACCCTAAGACTCTAACAAGAGACTAAAAGCATATTTCTTGATAGGACTCCTGATTTGCTGTGTGCAGACTTGAACACCCATTAATGGTATTTCCATCAAGTCTGGGGTCAGCAAATTCTGGCCTTCTGCAACATGGATGCTGAGTATTACTGATGACCCTCACCCTTTGAAAGCATCGGCAGTACATGCTTACCTTTCTCTATTCTTCGGACTGGTCATGTCCCATGCCCATGTGACAAAGTTGTGATTGAGATAGTCTATTACACTCTCTGTACACATTAATTGGCTGCAGAAGATATTGCTGTATACACTCTTGTCGTGGTGGACGTATACAGCCAGAAGTCTCCTCTACAAAGAAGAAAATTAAACAAAATGATAGTAAGGTAATATCTAAAATAACTTAATTCTATTCTCTTTGAAGGGTTTGTTCCTCTATTTGTTTCTGAGGGATATATTAAACAAATATTGACTGCTTTGAGGGGCACGGTTATAACTATTGCCCAAGGTAATCTCATTACTGGAATACGTAGAGCAGTCTCAGGATCACAGAGGAGCTATAGTTGTAACCGTGACCCCCAATTTAAGCAGTCACTATTTGTTTTATATACCGCATCCCCAATGTCAATTCTCAAAAAGATATTTATTATAAATAAATTATGCCTGTCAAAGTGTATTATTTGTAAAGTCGAAGAGAATTCACCAGTCTAAGAACATTGCGTGTGTCTCACTGTGCATATCCATTGCTAACTTCAAGCGCAACCATTGCATCCATACAAATTTCCATTGAATTGGTACCTATGATAATCCTCAATTATTTGCTATTTCATCATTATCATTTTAATCAGCATTTTCCCTCTTACAAATTTACAAGCTACATAGCTGTTACTGACTTTCATCCCGTGATGACATTCTCTCGATTTCTTCCCATTCTGCACATTATTTCCTCCTCATTATTCAGAGCAACCTTTACATTTTTTCTTTACTTAGCGATTCTGTTTTTGGTGCTTTTTTGTACAGGCACGGATCCACGGGCCAATTCTAACGACCCGGCCCCCCCCCCCCCCCCCACCCTCCTAAACCGGTGATAAAATAGGATAATAAAGTAAATTTAACCTTAAAAACCCCCTGACCTGCCAGTGACATAAAATGCGGCATCAAAATATTTGTGCTTCTCTGACCGTAATTAAAGGCCTAAAACCCCTGAGCTTCCGGGGCTCAACCCCCTGAACCCCCCACACCAATTTACGCTCGCTACCCTCTACCTGATCGTAAATACTTTAGCCCCCCCCCCCCACTTTGATAATCAATTTTGGCACAAAAGTCCTACGGGAGCTGTTTCAGTGACATACCGTACCACACTATGACACATCTTCTTCTCCCCTTGAAAACGAGAATGTGGTATCGGCACAGTAAGATCGGGTATTTGTATAGAGGTATTCCAAAATGACATTCTGATAATCAACATTTTGTTCTGTTATCATAACATATACGCATAATACAACTGATCTTTGTGATTTCTTAACGTGACATAGCTTCTTCTCCCCCTGCAAACAAAAAAGAAAACAAGGTCATTAAAAGGGATTAAGCGACAAATAATGATTGTGATTCAAATTGATGCCAATATTTGTTTGAATAAGCACTGCTATTCACCAGAATCTTCTTTGTAAAAACAACTTTTACAAATCTCAGCCATGCTTTACTGAGTTGAGACGTTCCATTCAATTTAAAATACTCAATAAAGAATACACTTCTCCAAATGTGAAAGTGATCTTACAACACAGTGGCAGAATTGCATGGCTGAGATTTTTAAAAGTCATTTTTACAAAGAAGATTCTGGTGAAAAGCATTGCTTAATATTAAAAAAAAAATCCTTGCATCAATTTGAATCACAATGATCATTTTGTCCCATGATCCTTTTATTAAATAACCTTGTTTTCTTTTTTGTTTGCAGGGGGAGAAGAAGCTATGTCACGTTAAGAAATCACAAAGATCAGTTGTATTATGCGTATATGTTATGATAACAGAACAAAATGTTGATTATCAGAATGTCATTTTGGAATACCTCTATACAAATACCCGATCTTACTGTGCCGATACCACATTGTATTTAGCCCGTATCAGTATTAGTATGAGCCAATATAAAGTTATTATTCTTTATTCAGTTCAGTATAATGCCTTTCCTCAAAAATAGTTTCGCTATTTTTTTAGGGTTGAGACGCTAAGAAATGGTTTCAAACGTACATTACACAAACCCTGAACCATTGCATAATGATGGTGGTTCTCTCTCTCTCTCTCTCTCTATCTATATTTATTGTAATCTTTCATTATCATCTACTAGTGCTGTAGTCAAACGTTTAACCGTCCGGTATCCGACCGCCCGCCCATGGCGGATTCCGTTTTCAATTGGACGGTTTCGTTTTCCCGTTTTTTTTGTGTTTTTTTAATTTTTTTTTAAAGTTTCGATTTAAGCCCCTCCACCTGGCACTATGCCTGGCAATGTCTCCCAGCTCAGTAATTGGTGTGATGACTTACCACTTGGAAACTAGAACAACACTCCAATTTATCTGTCATCTTGGTTTGAAAGTAATCTTTGTAATAGATCTCAATATATATTCATCCAAGTTTAACACATGGTGTACCACAAGGTTCTATCCTAGGTCCTCTACTGTTTTTAATTTACTTACACATTACACATTATTCTAAAACGACATTGTTACTATTATTTGGGACTAGTTCACAAGCACATATCGGCGCCTTCAGTTAAATCACCTTCCTGCTTTTTCACAAGGCCAAAAAAAAAAAAAAAAAAAATTTTTTTTTTTTTTTTTTTTTTAATAAATCGTTTAACCGAAAACCGTCCGGTTTTGACAGGCGGTTAAACGGAATTGGAGATATCCGTGATGTTACAGCACTATCATCTACATATAAAGCAGCAACACAAAACTTAGGGTTATCTGGGATAGGTGAAAGTGAGAGTTAAAAAAAAAAAAAAAAAAAAATTAGTGGTCCTCCTCTCCAGCATCCTCCCGCTTTAATATTCACCGGCCGCCTGAGTCGGCTCAAAAATGTTAAACCCCCCAACCCCCCAACCCCCCGCCCCCCCCCCCCCCGTGTTACGTCCTTTTAAGGCACTGGCAGTCACAATCATGTGACGTCCTTTTAAGCACTGGCAGTGCCTTAATAGGAGGTCACACTTTGCAGTCCACATTCTCGTCGTGCAAATCTAAAAGTCCCTAATTTTGATTTACTGATCGAGGTTCACTATTTGCTGGTCATTTGAAATCACCAGATTTCAGCGGGTTTACGCTTTTCACGACGAAAAACTTCTCCATGACCATGTTTCTGCCCTTGCGTGATCGCCTCCAGCAGATGTGGGGCGGCAGCGTGAACACGTACCGTTACTAACGGCGCAGTAGGCCTATAACCACTGCTGACGGCGGCACTGCACTGCGAGCTGAATCGGTAATACTCATAGAACGAGAAATCTTGCACGCTAATCTAAGTTCCATTTCATTGGTCTAAGGTTTGAAAATTGAAACTCAATATTGTGTTAAAGTTATAACAGAAAAGATAATCTTTATTTTATAATTCCACGGGGGCGATTTTTAATTTTTCAATCGCCCCCGTGAGCAAACTGACAGGGGCGATTATGTAGCTCACGGGGGCCCCCGTGTATTTTTTGAGCGCTGAATACATTATATCATAGGTCTATATACTTTCAGCAAATTAACATTTTCCTTATTCCTCTCCAAACAACTGAAGACAGAGCTGAGTTTCCCTTTTAAAAGCAAGTGTAAAATATTAGGTTTGTACCATAGGTTGGTAGATTACTGTATTTGCCGGCGTAAAGGCCGCAGTATTTTTGGAAGAGAAAATATCAAAAAGTCGGGGTGCGGCGAAAGAGTAAAATTTTTTTTAAAAAGCAAGTCAAAACCAGCACGAATTTGCACATATGGGACTAGATCTACGAACGGTACAATAACTATACATTTCCACACATCTTACCGACAATTTTATCTTGCATTGTTGACAGGAAGATGAAAATAAACTTCCAAAAACAACATCTGCCGATAGATCTTGATCTAAGTTCGTGCCAATGCATTGCAAAAGTAAAAGAAGGGCCAGTTTAACGGAGCTGCTGCGAAGCATCCAGCACGCGAAGTCGCTATTTTGAATCCATTTCAATACACAAGACGGCTCGCCGTATGCACGCGCGTCTCGACATTACCAGGGCGCTGACATTTTGCGCACTAAATTTCACATTTCTGTGCGTGGATACGTTCTTTTTCTCTTCTCATCTCATGCATATTCATTCCCCCCTGAACAACTGTCGAATCGATAACCAGGATTTTTGATTGTACCTCTAGGTTCAGTTAATCAAGCTCGTTCCAAAACTATATTATTTGTCCATATTTGTTTTTGCCAAAATATTCTAAATGCGATCTGAAAATGACCTTATTTGTCACTTTACGACACTTAAAATTCAAGGTTTTTTTTAAGTTGTCATGGCAATAAAATACAATTTTTTTAATGATCTCATGTATATATTTTGATTGCTCATCATTTTCTCCTCAAATTGATCATTTGATTTTACAAGTCTCGTTGGGCAGATTTTAAGCTACGAGTCCTCAAAGATAAGGTAATTTTTTCCAATTTCTCCTAATTTCACACCTTTCACCCGAAATCGTAGTACATTATTGAATATGGAGCAAGATACGAGAATTGATAGTTATCATACAATTTATTATGATATTTCTGATGATTTAATTACCTAGTTTTGCAGATTTATAACGTGAAACAAATACTAAACTGAGTTTGAAAATACAACAAAAGCAGCTGATTTATATATTTAGCGTGTACGCCAACACGTGTAGCCCGCTTCGGTCAGGGTAGTGTAACGCCACCCTACCGTTGTGTGAACAATCCCACATGCAGATAAATGTGTCTTGCGCACATTTGGAAGCATAAACACAAGTTAAAAAAAATATTAAAAATCGCTCGAATTGAATTTTATCATGACATTTTTAGATTATGTTTCTTTAGAATGTTGTTTTTAGATATGCACATGTCACAAGATTTTTTTTCTATTAGATTAAAAGAAAATCAAATATTTCTTGGGCATGGTCAGGGGAAATTTTTTATCGCCTGATGAGTGATGTGTGTTATGTTATTAACTGAAGCTGAGCCAGGTGTAGACCGAAAGCTTCAGTCTCTATAATCGTCGGTTGTTCCACTGAGACTACGTCTGGCTCCACTAGACCTCCGGTTATAGCAATATAGGTCTAGTGGAGCCAGACGTAGTCTCAGTGGAACAACCGACGATTATAGAGACTGAAGCTTTCGGTCTACACCTGGCTCAGCTTCAGTTAATAACATAACACACATCACTCATCGACATCAGGCGATAAAAAATTTCCCCTGACCATGCTCAAGAAATATTTGATTTTCTTTTAATCTAATAGAAAAAAAATCTTGTGACATGTGCATATCTAAAAACAACATTCTAAAGAAACATAATCTAAAAATGTCATGATAAAATTCAATTCGAGCGGTTTTTAATATTTTTTTAAACTTGTGTTTATGGTTCCAAATGTGCGCAAGACTCATTTATCTGCATGTGGGATTGTTCACACAACGGTAGGGTGGCGTTACACTACACTGACCGAAGCGGGCTACACGTGTTCGCGTACACGCTAAATATATAAATCAGCTGCTTTTGTTGTATTTTCAAACTCAGTTTAGTATTTGTTTCACGTTATAAATCTGCAAAACTAGGTAATTAAATCATCAGAAATATCATTATAAATTGTATGATAACTATCAATTCTCGTATCTTGCTCCATATTCAATAATGTACTACGATTTCGGGTGAAAGGTGTGAAATTAGGAGAAATTGGAAAAAATTACCTTATCTTTGAGGACTCGTAGCTTAAAATCTGCCCAACGAGACTTGTAAAACCAAATGATCAATTTGAGGAGAAAATGATGAGCAATCAAAATATATACATGAGATCATTAAAAAAAATTGTATTTTATTGCCATGACAACTTAAAAAAATCCTTGAATTTTAAGTGTCGTAAAGTGACAAATAAGGTCATTTTCAGATCGCATTTAGAATATTTTGGCAAAAACAAATATGGACAAATAATATAGTTTTGGAACGAGCTTGATTAACTGAACCTAGAGGTACAATCAAAAATCCTGGTTATCGATTCGACAGTTGTTCAGGGGGGAATGAATATGCATGAGATGAGAAGAGAAAAAGAACGTATCCACGCACAGAAATGTGAAATTTAGTGCGCAAAATGTCAGCGCCCATCTAATACCGGCCGTGCCGATACGTGAGAGAGGCGCAATGTATACATCACAAACAAGGGAAACGCTCTCGGCGGTGTCGCCTGCATAACGCTATTCAATATGATAAACCAGAACGTCAATGACGTAGCGCTCATCCGCATCTCGCAACAACAAATATCGTAAATTTTGTGTGGTACACTTTTGAACTGGTCAAAAAATAAAAATTTAATGCCCTGGAAAGGACATAATTAGGTGGTCTGTCGATGACAGATCACCCATTGATTTTGTTATAATTTTCTTTATTCTTTATTCTTTATTTATTTTATTTCTTTCGTACACTTTTTTGTGCACACGTTTACTAGAAATCGACATGGTCAATTTCCTTTAAATTTCTGTCAGTCATTAAGCCCTATGATTCCAAGTCTAATCAACTTTTTCAAGGTCATTAGGTCGTGTCGTCATCCAGGCGCCATTTTGTAAAAATCAGGTCATTATCATATCTCAATAATGAGTCATCAAAAATCAACCATATTTAGTATACATCAACTTCAGGTCAAAGGTCAACTAAAAAATTCAACAAATTCCGCGCGTGCACCTCAACGCACACGTACGCGCGCATCAAAATTTTAAAATGCTCCAATTAGTTTTTTTTTGCACACGTTTCAGGCCATTGTAAGCATTTTCAAAATTTGCGCGAGAGCACTTATTTTTTGCGCGTTTCCGCGCGTAATTGCGCATACTGACATTTTACGATATAGAAACGCCAAATTTTCTCTATCATATCAACCACATTTTTCCAAGCATTTTGATACCTTGTTCACCTTTTTCTGACCAGTGATAACGCAATGGGCATTCGTCAAAGTTAACAGCACGCGCGGATCTGTGCTATCCTTATCCACATTACATGTGCAAAAACAAGCCTATACAAAATTCATTTTAACTCTTCAGAATGGATAGATAACCCCAATTTTTTTTATATTTAGATAGATTACGAGTCGGAGATATGATTTCATGTCTAATTTGACCCTCAATTAACTCATGACGTCATCATAATGGCCTTCGAACTCAAAATTTCAATTTGTATATTATGACGTTAGCAGATTTTTTTTTGATATGTTTTAGCTGAGAATATTCTCTACAAATGCAGTAATCACGATATTTCATTTTGACAATGGCATCATGGCGTATTTTTGTGAATAAAGGAGGCATGTCAATTTTTCACATTTTGCGTGTATTCTCTAAGGGACATGACTTTTTCTCAAAACTGGATTCTACATTCTTGTCTTTCGCGAGCAATATCTCCGTCGTTTTATCTTCGTTTACGCTGAGCTTTGAGTATGTTGTAGCTGAGACAATATGCTATCATAAGTGTGCCCTTTTTTTTTGGATCAGATTCCGGGATCATGCTCATATTTCACTTGCAAAGTTGGATTTGCGAATTCCATTTTCCGTTTACGTGTCATCTCTATGGGAAATGTTTTGGTATATCGGTAACGCACTTGACTTCCGACCTCGAGGTCCCTGGTTCGAGTGCGGGCGTCTCCAACAATTTTTTTTTTTCAATTTTTTTTCTTTTTGACCTTTCACTCTACCATCTCCTTTGAATATTAAAGCACGTAGAATCGCAAATAATGTAATAAACAAACATATTTACTTTATTATTACCCTATTATCAATTGATCCTTTACTTTTTGCGTGTAATCCTTATGAGAGATGACTTTTTCTCAAATCTGGATTCTACATTCATGTCTTTTGAGAGCAATATCGCCGTTATTTCAGCTTGATTTTTGTTGATTTTTGAGTATGTTGTAGCTGAGACTATATACTATCTAAATGTTCTCTCATTTTTTTCAGTCTGATGTCATCATGGTCTGTTGATGATGATCATCATCAACATGATCATGATCATCATCAACATGATCATGATCATCATCGTTATCATCATTAACATTACCATTAATATCATCATCTAACATTATCATTATCATCATGATCATCATCATCGTCATCATCCTTATCATCATTAGTATCAAGATCATCATCATCATCATCATCATCATAATCATTATGATCATCATTGTTACATGTACATGTCTATACAATTTCTCTCTTTCTCATATATGGGAGATGACTTCTTCTCAAATCTGGATTCTATATTCCTGTCTTTTGTGAGCAATATCGCCGTTATTTCCGTTTGGTTTTAGTTGATTTTTGAGTATGTTGTAGCTGAGACTATATGCTATCTAAATGTCTCCCTCATTTTTTCAATCAGATGTCAGCATGATCATGATCATCATCAATATCATCATGATGATCATCATCATGGTCTGATGATGATCATCATCATCATCAACATCATCATCATCATTATCATCAACATTATCATTATCATCGTAATCACCATTACTATCAAGATCATCATCATCATCATCATCATTAACATTATCATTATAATCATCATCATCATCATCATCATCACCATTACTATCAAGATCATCATCATCATCATCATCATTGTTTACATGTCTATATAACTTCTACCTTTCTCAATATAGTAAATATTATCATCTACCATCAGACATGAAGACAGACCACCTTAAATTAAATTCTAGTTTCATTTCATTTGCATAAAGTACCATAAATAATCAATGGAGCAAAATCTCACAATTCTGTGTAGAAGTTTAGTGTTCCAAATTTAGCTCTACCAGATAAGGCAAACCAAATCAAAATCGGTCTAGAAATGAGGGAAAAGAAGCAATTTTTGTTATTTTTGGAATAAATTTGCATAAATTACCATAATTAATCAATGGAGAACAATTTCAAAATTCTGTGTAGAAGTTTAGTGTACCAAAGTTAGCTCTACGATATAAAGCAAACCAAATAAAAATCAGTCGAGAAATGAAGAAGAAGCCTTTTTTGTGATTTCGAATAAATTTGCGTAAATTAGCATAGATAATGAATTTCACGATTCTGTGTAGAAATTTTAAATCCCCCTCCTAGCCCTATCATATGAAACAATCAGAATCAAAATCAGTTGAAAAATAACGAAGAAGAAGCATCTTGAAAATCTTGATGTTGATGCCACAACAAAGTCTAAGTTTGTTGACCTTAACTTAGTGACCTGAAATTCTACTCACATGATTGGGGAGACTTGATAACCCTATAGTCCAAGTTTCATTGACTAAGAAATTATACTTTCAAAATTATATCAAATAATTCAAAAACTTAACCTTAGGTTAAGTTTTCGATGATGATGCTACTACATAGTCCAAGTCTCTTGACCTGGAATGACCTTTGATCTTTACTTTGTCATCTGAAATTCTACTCACATGATTGGGGATACTTGATTACCCTATAGTCAAAGTTTCATTGACTAAGAACTTATACTTTCAAAATTATATCAAAAATTCAAAAACTTAAGTTTTTGATGTTGACGCTGCCGTCGCCGCTGTCGCCGCGGGAAAAGCGGCGCCTATGTCTCGCTTTTTGCTACGCAGGCGAGAAATTACATAAGCTAGCATCAGTGCGGGATGGCCGAGCGGTCTAAGGCAGTGATTTTAGTCAAATCAACATTTGGACGCAAGAGATCAAATCCCGACTTCGACAAAAAGTTTTTTTTTTTTTTTTTTTTTAAATGTCAAAATCGGGGGTGCGGCCTTATCACCGGCAAATACGGTACAAAAAAAAAGTTTGTAAAATCATAGTTTGTTTCGTATAAAGCAATGAAACTATGAGATGAATACTCACATCTTTTGCTGGTACATTGAAGGCTTCTTCAATTGCATTATCTAACGGCCCCAAATAAAAAGCGGGATGTAAGTCGCCATAGCGACTCGAAAATTCTTGTGAGAAATGTATTAATGATTCTGTCACGTTGTCTAGGTTATCGGGTACTGCAAGAGAGAGAGAGAGAGAAAAAGAAACTTATTCACAGGTTGAAAGGAAATCTCAACAATTCAATTCATATTTACATTAGAGCTGCAAATTTATCTTGACTAATAACAATTTTTTATACCAGTATCTCAATCTCAATTCATCTCACTCAAAATATATATGCATACAATCTGCTTTCAATGGCCTAAGTCAATGCACCTGTAACAAACACAATGCATGGAAGTGATCTCCCAGTCAACTTCAATATGGGGCTTGAAATCAAATCACTTTTTCCAAACATTAAAAACAAAAATTCTTAACCTTTCATTTGTCTCATATAGTGTTTAGAAAAAATATATCTTCCAATGATAAACATACTGTTGAGGGGTAACTGGTCCCCCATTAAAGGGATTGGGTAAAATTGTCTCAGATTCTGAAACAATTTCCTGTATTTAGCTCATGCTGCAATAATAATCATAATCATTTGGTTCAGTAGGAACCCCATCAGTTTTACAAGCCGATCGCCTGTCTGATTATCAAGATATTTATGATTGGAAATCAAAATCAATTTTTGCGTTTTCCTAACGGTTTTCATAACACTAGTCTATTGGGGAAAATGAGTATGGTAAAACTGGTCACTCAAAGTTTTACATTTTAGAGGCATTTCATGATCATTTTGAAGTGCAATTTTTTCAGGGCTTCAATATTACACCATATCACAGACACTGATCACACACAGAGCCATGCTACTCAAATTTAACATTGTTAAACGATAGGTTTAAGGGGTAACTGGTCCCTTTAAATATAAAACTCCACAATGCTACTCACTTAGAGGCCCGAATCTATAAGCTGAGCTATCTGTACCAAACATTGCGTGATCATCGAGGTCCATGACTTCCTGAGCGTCATCGTACTCGTCGCTATCGCTGCTATCGTTCCCGGCACCGGCGCTGGCTGCTGCCTATATGGTGAGGGTAGAAATGGAATTATTGATTTGTTTACATCGGATTCATAGAAGAGTTGGAGAGAGAAAGAAGAAGTAGATGACAATGACAGATGGAGAGAGAGAGAGAGAGAGAGAGAGCGATGGAAGGGGGCAAAGAGAGAGAGAGAGAGAGAGAAAGGGGAGGGGGAACAGAGGGAGAGAGAGGGATAAAGGGGCAGAGAGAAGAGGTAGATGTCATATGACAGAGAACAAGATAGAGAAGAAGTAAGAGATGAAGAGAAGGGGGTAGATCAAAGATCAGAGAGAGAGAGAGAGAGAGAGAGATGAAGGGGGTAAAAGAGCAAGAGACAGACAGACAGAAGAAAGAAGGAGAGAGAAGGGGCCTTTTAAAAGTGTTTATCTTCAAATCTAAGATAACAGACTCAAATTGGGATAAAGAGAGTTATTGGAGCAGAACTAAAAGTGAAACTTTTAGTTCTTATACTAACAAGTATTCAAAAAAACATTTAAAGTTAGACCTTAAACCTAATCACTTCTAATGCATATGTTTCCCTCCAAGCCTTTCTCAGAAAAAGTTGTCTAGAAAACCTCTCAAGATATCTTAAAGATAAACTTGAGTTCTGGTAATGCGATTGCATTGTGAAAGAAAAGGTGTGGAATGGATCAGAAATGTTGATCATATAGCATGTAAGTAATGGTGTGTAATGCAAGGTTCTGGAGTCATCAAAATCATCATAAATTTGGCAGAGTCTTGGTAAAGTAACTATCACTTACACAGAAAGATGTATATGGGACAACACACATGGTGTCGGGGCTAGTACTACCCTGATTTCCTTATCTTTCTATGCTCATTACTCAGCCAGTATACATGTTCTTCCAAAATTGTTTGGCACATGACATTTATTTGTAATCTTGAACATTCAGTGTAAGTTTCGTTAGATTATGTGAGAATTCATTTTCTTTTTTTACTAGAACTCAAGTTTATCTTTAATAACTATCTAAGTAATGACAAGGAAAATGGTTTTGATATGACATCCAATTATGGTTAGTACTAGAGAAGATTGACAAATTCTTAACCCTTTGCTTACTGGAACCTAGTGGTCCCTGTGTTAAGCCTATAGGAATAAGATAATTCAGTAGTCAACGGGTTAAGATGGGATACTGGGCTTACCTGCGACCTATTATTCTGAGGTTGATCGACTGGTATTCTCTTGAAAGAAAGTCTGTGTCGAGGGAAATCTATACCTGAAGCTGCCAATGTTAGCTGAAAAACAAGAGATATAAAGTTGATGTACATTATGCATTAATCTTATATGAAAATATTTTGTGCTCTGCTCAATTTAAATATTGTTACATTGTTACAGGTTGATCTACTGGTATTCTCTTGAAAGAAAGTCTGTGTCGAGGGAAATCTATACCTGAAGCTGCCAATGTTAGCTGAAAAACAAGAGATATAAAGTTGATGTACATTATGCATTAATCTTATATGAAAATATTTTGTGCTCTGCTCAATTTAAATATTGTTACATTGTTACAGGTTGATCTACTGGTATTCTCTTGAAAGAAAGTCTGTGTCGAGGGAAATCTATACCTGAAGCTGCCAATGTTAGCTGAAAAACAAGAGATATAAAGTTGATGTACATTGTGCATTAATTTTATACGAAAATATTTTGTGCTCTGCTCAATTTAAATATTGTTACATAAATGATAATTGCTACAAAAGTTTTACAATTTCCCTGTCTTTATAAATGATGTTAATTTCATACATTCAAATGAACCTTGTCAAACTTTCATGCTCTGATAGTCAATATATAAATATGATCTGAATTTGAAAGATTAGTTTCGTGGACCGATGAGTAAAACAAAGCTTGGAGGTTTTGTCGAGCATCAATGCCACATAAAAATCGAAAGAACTAACACATTTTTACTAAAAAAAAGATGTTTGTTTAAATCTTCACATTTCTAAAATACCATGGGCCAAATCTTGGACTTCTAGTACTCTTTTCACACTGGTTTTGCTTAACCCCGTACTTTGCTTAGCCCCATACTATCCTTAACCCCGGACTATTTTTTTTGGCTTTTCACACACGCTGTTTTTAGTCCCGTACTAGCGCCTATTCCGGAATAAGAAAATTCCCACTGTTCTCACTGCATTTCGTTAACCCCGGATATCTTGAATGTTATTATTGGACATACTTCGCATCTGGCCAGCTGCGATATGCTCCATTGCGTAGTACCAGACTATTTTTCGTTTCTGTTCTCATTCATTTGCAGGAGTTAGCACCACAATTGCGGAGTTAGCCCTGCTATTTTGCAGGGTTAGTTAACCCCGTACTATAGGTGGGGTTAGCCAACTTAAGCCCACTTTGGTAAAAACCAGTCTGAACAGAAAGTGGAATAGGCTTAACACCGTACTATAGGTGGGGCTAAGACCCCCCCTTAACCCAGAGCTGCCAACCTCTGAAACCAAAATCAGTAATCTGAAAGCTAAAAATCAGTAATTTTGGATGGAAATCAGTAATTTCAAGCGCGGCGCTTTCAACATCAAGAAGACTGCATTTGCACGTACATTGTAGAGCTGCACACAACACCACAACACAAACTACTAGTACCATGGTAATAGCATCACTCTGAATGACAGGACTTGAAGTAAAAACAAGAACATTCTGTTTATAACATCATTTTAAGTGCTATAAAAAAAACAATGGTTATTAGAGGATTGATGTATCATTACCCTGTTTCACTTACGTGTGTATATTCAATTCAGGTTTTTACAATTAACATAGAGGCTCTACAAACATAATGGAACAACTCTTACCTAAGTAACATAACTGTCCAGTCACACTGTATGCTTGCTTGCTTGCTTTCTCACTGTTTGCAGAAACACAATGCAGCTCCCTTACATTTGGTCAAGAGTTTATCACTGAATTGCATGTCATAATATGTGCAAATCATAAATGTCCAGTCACACTGTAGCTTGCTTGCTTGCTTTCTCACTGTTTGCAGAAACACATTGCAGCTCCCTTACATTTGGTTAAGAGTTTATCACTGAATTGCATGTAATAATATGTGCAAATCATAAATGTCCAGTCACACTGTAGCTTGCTTGTTTGCAGAAACACATTGCAGCTCCCTTACATTTGGTTATAATAGTTTATCACTGTTTTCAGAAAGCCATTGCAGCTCCCTTACATTTGGTTAGCAGTTGATCGCTGAATTTCATGTCATGACAGTTTTGTCCTTTGGACTGGCATGTTGCCTTCTGAGTGAGAACATCACTCAATGTTGCAGTACTCAAACTGGCCCTAAACTCGGTCTTGTTCTTCCTCACCAAGCTGAACAGCCTCTCATCCGAAGCATTACTGTGTGATATCGAAAGAATCAGCATCATGACTTGCACTAGATGAGCATAGCGAAACTGCCCACTGGTGGGATCTTTGAGCTGAGATACTGCCACCCATGCCAAGTCTGCTTTTGAAGCATCAATCTTGTCCACGGAAGGATCACTCTGGTAGGAGGCATATTCCAGTTCAAGTGTGTCAATATCATCTTCCATGAAGTGGAATCTCCGAACAAAATCCTGGCTTTCATTCCCATTATGTACTTCACATGTTCAATTTAAAGGGAAATTACTGTCGTGGTCGTGAAATTTAATTGTGGAAGAAACTCTCTGAGTGATTGGGAAAGGTTGATTACACTTCAACTAAGAATTGTTGTATGCTATAAGGTTTTGGAATGACCAAAATAATAAGAAATTAACTCAATTATGATGAGAGTCACATGCACTGCACACAGAAATGCATGTATGGGACTACATTCAACTGTGCGGCCCGCACATTTCAGCTGTTTATTGTCATATTATTATTACGACTACATGTACATCATCATGTATGAGAACAATTTAAGAGCAATCATTGACAGTGGGCCTTTTTATTATAATATTCTTCCTAAATAGCATGCCATGATATTAATCTGGAAGCTCACAATAACTTTTGTCACTTTTCCCACGACAGTAGATTCCCTTTAAATCTAAAATGCAATTTTCAATATTTATTTACCTTTAGTTTCCTGTCCCAAAGTTCTTGCGATTGCTGTAGCCTTGGAGCGACGGCACGCGTATTTACTTGCAATTTTACTGTCAGGGAAGGCATTTTTGACAAGTTGTGAAAGGTGGTCTGCTGCTGAAAACGCGATGTTGTGCTCTATCAAAAATTGAGTAAACTTCACTTCGGCATTCGTGACAGAATTGTCCTTTGCGACGAAAAACTGGGCGATGTCATGACTGCGGGAATTGGAACTTGCCTCCGCCGCTGCAGTCCGGTGCTTCACCGACTTCAGATGTACCTGGATATCGTTCGAACCGCCATGACCAATTCCAAAATCGGATGAGCAATGTGTACAACAGGCACTGTTTGTATTCCTTTTCGACGGAACAATGCATGACCATTTCTTGGTGTAATCACCTGAGAAGGTTTGCAGTTTTTTAGAACGCTTCTTCGATGAAGTTGAAGTCATTTTTCTCCGTCGGTTACTCGAAGTTTGACGCGACCACGGCCGACCTGCTGCACATGCGGTAGTGTAACACTCGGCCAATGCATATTTCGCCCAGATAAATATTGTGCCACTTGTTTCAGCACATCCACCATGCATGCGCTTTCGTATCGGTCAAAACTTTGTGTGTCAGCTCATTCAAAATTTATTCGTGTATCATATTTTGTTATCAACAATGAAAAGGGGTATATGAATAAAATGAAATGAATAAACATGATCCAACAAATAATGTGAAATAAAACACAATGACAATAATTGTTGAATATAAATTCAAGTTTAATCAAGGAAGTACATTCATTTTCCTTATGACAATTATCATCATCATCATCATCATCATCATCATCATCATCATCATCTTCATCATTAGTCGAGTCGTACTTTTATTATCATAACAATGAGAACCCATCACTAAGGGGAAAAAAATTGTAGACCTGCTATAAACTACACATGGACATGGTACCGTACGGGTTGGTTTGCAAGGTGGCTAAATGGACTTGGGACGAGTTTGCCGTCTCCCCGATATATATTGCATGCTGAAAGCTAGCACACGCAGCCCATATAGGCAGGGCGGTGTGCATATCTTTCGATGGTAGCTACATGTGTGTGCAGTGGTCGTGGCTGAGGCGCGGATGATATTTCCGTGCGCTCAAAAGTTAACCACCGGGCCGAGGCTCGGGAAGTATCGCGATCATTACCGCTAAAACACTCGCATATGCATAATGCATGTGTTAATACATAGGCATGTCCAGAAATCGGGGAATCCGTAATTTTTGAAGGGGTTTCCGTGCTTCCGTAATTGCCGTTGATTTCCGTACCAATTACGGAAAATCCGTACTAGTTGGCAGCTCTGTTAACCCCACCTATAGTACGGGGTTAAGCAAAATATTGCCAGTGTGAAAACAGTATAAGCCACATTGAATTGATGTCAAAGCTACCAACATTTGGTTTTTGTAATCAAAGAGATTTGTGTGAAGCGAGCGTTCAAAACTGAGTGAGCGAAGAGAGTGAGCCATTGCGGGTGGGGTCCAGAAGGCAGAGCCCTCTTGAAGCTCCTGGTTTTTAGCCAATCTGACATCCCTTTTTGTGCATAAATTTGTAATGATATTTGAATATTGTAACAATAAATTTGGGCATGATTTATAAGGAATCAGTGAGGTTTCTGAATCCCAAGGTGTTTTTATTGTTGAAAAAAATTATGGATTTACCCGGACAAATCTGGGAGTATTGTCATTTCTGTGATGTACATCCAAGCTGACACAAAACTATAAAAGACTGAAGCACTAACAAAAAGTAATTCTTCAAAGCTCTAGCTGGGAGCTATTGGCTATCGTATTCCACGTTACGCAGAACGCTTACCGTGTCTGTGTCATTTGGCCACCCCGTCCACTCCTGCCGTCTAGGCTGGACGTTGGTCAGCGCAAAGATGCCCTGCTTGACGTCCACTATGGTCTTGCAGCCCTCGTATCTGAGATTATAAGTCGTGTCCTCATCGGTGTCCGTGATAACGAGCTCTGTATTCCGCGACAGTCTGGACATGAAATGAAATCATAAGGGATAGTACGAGACTAGATTGTTAACCTGCCATAGTGGCCACCTCTCTACAAAGGCCATCTATCTTTAAGCAGGGGTTGACGTTAAAGGGCGCATGGAAAAACATTCCTTCCCTGTAGTCCGTTTGGTGAACATTACTCATGTAATATGTAAAGAGTCATGCATTAGCTATTCGTCTGCAAAGACCAGCCACAGGCAAGAATTTTGAGTCGTCTAAGTGCTTGCTATTATGTTATGAGACCGGCACACTCTAAATCTGTGATGACTGCCAATAGCTATCATACTTATCATACCATCATATGATAATCATACTTCAATCTCATTTTTCAACTGCTAATACAGCTATCGTACTCTCCCTTTTCTAATTCTGGTACCGGTAGTCAATTCTACTGCCAAGTAGCAGGAATTAATTCCTTGAAATGCTGGAGCACTGTAATGGCAGCTAGGCTAAAGCCATGGTAATAATTAGTGGGCCTCGGAATAGAAGTTCTAGATAGACGGCACTATAGAAATGCCTATTATTATTTGTTCAAATTCATATGAAATCTGCATTTCCAATGGTCAATATTTATCTTCTCTATACCCTTGCCCCACATGTGCACATCCCCGTCATGCAAAGAACCTACAACCCTAAGAAGAAAAAATTAATATATACTCTTCTCCATTGGAGGGGCAAGGCTGGTGCGCTTCTCCTTCCATAGTAGGTGTGCTTAGGGTCAGAGTTACTTCAGCAGCTAGATTGAGAGTGGAGAGAGTTGTCTGCGGCAAACAAAAAATGAAATGACAGAAACATATGAATTAATGTGAACTTTGACCTTTTAAAGATCCCTAAATGTCAACATGTAACCTCTACATTAATCTTAACCTATTGGGTCCTGGAAGCGGGTGGGTCCTGTATTAAAGCCTCTGGTAATCAAACTATTCCGTCATCAACGGCTTAATAATTTTATTTACACAGGGCAACCTCATTAGTATCAATACTGTTCTTCCTAAAGCCCCTCTAGTCTAATGAGTATTACACCGTATTTGCCTGGTACCCATTTGATGCACCTGGTTGGAGTGGGACAAATTTTGGAAAAATGCAATTCACATTCTGACTATCAAAATACGATTATTTGTAAAAACAGGTGAATGAAATAATTTGTATCGAGGCAATTCCCAAAGATAGTGAATTATATATGGTTGCATTACGAAAATGGCCTACTGGAAAAAATGGTGAAGCAAGTTTGCGTAGATCTTACCTCATCACTAGGTACAGGCGCTCTTGTATCCCAACCCGAGAGATACAGGGCAGTCTTTGGTATATTCAGCTGCTTAGAAAGTAGGTCTTTTAAGTGATCTGTTGGAGAACATGAAAATAAGAAGGAAAGGAAATGAATACAAATGAACACCGGTGGGACATTTACTTAATGAAAATGAAATTACTGGACCAAGAAAATTTACCTGTGCTCCTGGTAAATTTCAAATATTTCAAATAGCACCTGAGGCCATTTCATGGTAGCTGCGACCATGAAAATCTCAGAATATGCAGTTCTGATATGTAATTTCCAAACAGGAATGGCAAATCGGTCAACTATAGTCAAGAAAAATTGTTTTAAAGCAAAGTAATATTAGTCTAGAGAGGGAACTATACAACATAAAAAGTTTATTTTATACAATTTCATGACTTTAAACTCAATTTCAACCGTAACAAGGATCATTGAATATTGTAAAATCGCATATGCTTCCAATATGTTCATTTGAACCAAATTCATGACCCCATACCAAAACTTTGTATTACCTTAAAAGCATTTTCAAAAATAGCAAGAATAAATATAGTCTTACCAACTTGGTGTTCGTCTGTGACCGAGAGTGTGATGACCTTGCCCCTGTGCTTGATGCTAAAGTGGATGAAGCGAGGTCTTCGAACGGAGGACGAGGAGGAGGAGGAAAGGGGAACTGGAGATGAGATGAAAGAGGAAAAGGAGGGGCCAGGGGTGTCAGAGAAGGTGGGCTGTACCGTGGCATCAACATCTCGTACCAAGGGCCTTTATTGAATGAAACAAGCAGGGATACTATTAATAATGATCAAATATAGTGCATAAAAACAAATTATCATTTTCTTTTGTCTAGAACCTCCAAAATACATCAGCAATATTATTTAACTAAATTAAATTACTGATGCACATTTAGAATTGCAGGTTCAAGTTGCATTTCTAATTTGTCTTTCGACTTTAAGTCTCGACTGTTCAAGTTCATTTTAACTGACATTTGTATGTACTGTTATTTGTGCATGTTTTCTTTAAAAAAAGTTTTTTTAATTAAACCATCACAATTCTGCCACCCAGAGCTCTGTGAAGATATGTTGCAATAATTCTTAGATCTTGAATCAGCATTATTAACCCGTCGACAACTGCATTGTATAGGTCCCATAGGCTTGACACAGGGACCACCAGGTTTCCGTATGAAAAGGGTTAAGAAGAACACCTACTCTTGCGCCTCCACGGGGATCTCCATGGGGATCTCCCGGAAAGCAGATCGTCCCCGGATACCGCTCTCATCCTGCCCGCCGCCTAAGCCTCCGCCCCCACCACCACCGCTGCCGCCGCCACTGCTGCTCTCTCCCTGTGCGCCGAACACCGAGTTGATAGCCCCCGTAAGATTCCAGTTGTTCTGCTCCAGGTGGGCAAGGCACTCCTCAAAGTTCTCGATACCCGTGCAGGCCTGTAGGAACAAGAGAGGGATGATGGAGAGGATGTTTACGGTGGATAATGGAACTGAGCTGATTAGTAGTGTGGCATCTGTGTACTTGTATTCTTTATAGAGGACTTTGCCACTGAAGGGCAATTCAACCTCGGACATGACCCCCATTCTCGCATGGGTAGGTTAACTTTAAATTTTAAAAAAATTCAGATCGATAAAAGTTTGAAGATCTGACACTACTTTTTGAAAGTGAAACTTATAACTACTAAAAGCAGGGTGGTCCATAAGGGGTCTAAACATGCTGTGGTGACAGGTTTGAATTTTGATCATACAAGTTAATATCAATTCTCAACCAAAAATGATGTATAAAATGTTCATTATAAAATTTGTTTGAGAAAGCTTCAAAATAGGATTGCATCCAGGGCCCCATTTCACATAACTTGTCATCAGTGACAAATGTCAATTTTTGTTAAAAGCTACTGAAATTCTTGCTTCTGATTGGTTATTCGCAGATTTGTCACTGATTTTTTGTCATTGAAAAAAATGCTTTATGAAACAGGTCCCAGATTGCACTCAAAAGCAATGAGCTCCTGACCTCTGAAAGGCAAATATTTGTTGGTGTCGTTTCTTATGTCTTTGTTTGTAAATTTGACATTGGAGGCACTCTCTCAATGTGGGAGAGTCTAATCCATGGTCCTCTCCTCTCTAATACTAATAGTCTAATTAAAAATGACTAATCATGGTTCATGGAATGAATATCCCATTCCAATTTTTGTTTAAATGTGCTAAACCTTAGGCATCCCATCATTAGTTCAAAGCAGATAAGAAAGAATTTCAATTCATAATATGAACAGAAAAACAGAATGGCAATGTTTGAAAGCAGTCTAACAAGAAAAGAAAGTTATGAACAGTTTTACAGTCAAGCAACAGGGCACTACAATCTAGCCTTGGCAAGTAAAATTTGATAGATCTACTTACCTTACGATAATAGCGATAAGTGTAAAAAGGCGTGCACAGGGAGTTTGCTAAGTTCAGCGCATTTCGTATGTGCCTTCCTCCAGCTCACCTTACTTTTTTTTAGTATACATAACTAATTGCTTTTACAGCAATGTAAGTTTCAAATTGGCAACACGCACACAAACGCAAAAACTTTTTTTTTTGTAGACTACACCGGGTGTAGACTATTTTCATTTCAGGCGGAACGAATGTCACGAGCTCTCGTTCAGCGTTTTTGTAAATCGCACTTCAGCTCATTATCTTATAGACCCTAAACAAGTAAGCAAATCCCTCACCCCTGTATCAGAATCGCACATTTTTATCAAATTCTTGAATGATTTCAAGGTGCTTTGTATGAGCAGATGAGAAGAACGAAGAGCCTGTGTGCAATGTTCGATGGGAAATGGGAAGGGGCAAAATTTTTAGGTTTTGTTTACCTCCCTCTCTATGCAGGGATATGGGTGCCAATTAAAGCTAGGTGATATCAATATCATTCATATTTCATATTATCACCTAGCCCTAAAGGCTACTCCAATCATAATTCGAAATGTTTCCTTTCACCAAGCGGAGCCCTAGCACAGGGCGAGGCCGAGAGAGTTCGCTTATTTCTGCCAGTCACAAACACCACCGCGCGACAGCGACGACCGATACACTATACACAGCATAGCTATAGGCATGCACGATAACCGGAATGCATGATTAGCAAATAATTCTGGTCATGTTCACTAAACTTGAGAAAAATTACACTTAACTAACCCATAATTGGATTCAAGACTTTTTTCTTACATATGAACATAATACAGAATAGCATCAACTTGTTGAAATCATGAAATAATGTTGATGAGGACATAAAATCAAGTAGTTTTGTACCTGAAAATTCGCCAGGATTTCTTCTCTGTTCGCCGCCATTGTTGTTGATGTCATAATTCTGAGCATGCGCTGTAGCGCGATTTGCCAGCTGATTATATATGATGAGTACGAGTCACAACAGGGACATATAAAGTGACGTCATACCCCTATTGTTACCATATTTATTCCCCAAATCCAACTTTGATAATAAACAGTATCATATGGAGACATTTAATACTTTACATAGTTAATTTATTACTTCCTGAGCTAATCACATTTTGAAGACTATACTGCTGAGTGTACATCGAAATTTACATGGACTCAAAATACATGAGTGCATTGCAAAATGGACAAGATCGAGTAAGACAAAATTCTGCGGTGAAACAAAACCCCGCCCACATTAATATGCGTCACGAAAAAAAGATCTATAAATAAAAAAGAAATACTTCTGCAAGTTTCGACATGCACCCACAATTTTTTGATCAAAACAACTGACTGGGGAATTTCAGCGGACATTTAAATACCCTGGATGCATGATTATGTACATGGCATTTAAAGATACCTCATAATTATTGAAATTTTGTCTCGGGACGTGTGCAAGTTAAAAGTTCCGTAGGCCTACAGCTTGGCGGGAAAAGTTTGCAAAGTATATTTGACATTTCGGAATCGAGTAGAAAGTGTCTCTCAGGTCTGAAGGTAAGTTCTGTGAAGAGTGATTTTTAACCATCATCTCAGTTAAAGTATCTTAGAAATTATACTCGAATAGTAGATCTAGACGGTTATAACTATAATGCAAATTGAGATTAATATGATCAGTCATATCACACCTCTGCATGCCGTATATACTCGGCTTCCCGTGTGCCACTAGTTCCCTCTAGTTTTATGCCTAGGCTTGATAATGACTGTAAATCTGTAATCCTATATCATCTTATGATCCTGAATCAGTTGTTGAACAATGTACCCTTAAAATGTGCAAAAATGGAAGATCCACTATAGTACGGGTCGATCATAGCTTTTCATTATTCTGTGACAATAATTGTTTACACATCAGTAAACGGCCTTACACCCATCGCACAATCTACGACTCTGCGTCTGATTATATTATGATCCGATATTGGAAGAATTTGCAAAAGCCGATAGAATTTTATGCGAACATTCAAACTTTTAACATCTTAATGATCGAAGATCTGAATAGCCATAATAATTAGTAATGGAATTAAATTGTCAATAGATTCCAAGCTTACTTGGAGGATGGAAAGCTAAATCGGCTCAGAATCGGCGTAGGGATGTCATATACCAGTATATAGTGCGATATTGATTACGATGAAGCCGATTTAGCCTTTATTCTGACTATATTGAAGGCTTAACTGCAATAAACTTCCTGTTAGTATTATCTTATGATTTTTTTAGAAGCTAAATCAGGAAGATGATGTTTGTTTAGATTTCCTTATCTAATATAATTGCCATTTCTTCTAAAATCGGATACCAGGAAGATCGTATAGTAGTTTGTACACAGTCATGTTGTTATTTTTGTTGGTGACTGAAAATCAATCAATCAATCAATCAATCATTGAAGTGGGAATCATGTTAAAATAAGTGGAAGCCTTTCTCAAAAAGATGAAGTCAAACCTCCTCATGACATTTTGAAATATCTATGATTACATTTTATTATAACTCTGTTTATATAAAATATGTTACGGTGACCGTTTATCTTGCATTATTTCTCATATTGTATTTACAATCTGTTATGATGTGATCTGACATTGTTATTACTTTATAACTTGACCGGCCTTATACCTGAGACGCTCGACACTCTTTATACAGGAAACAAATTAAATTAAATCAAAATTGCATTTAATCTGATTTCTTTGAAGCATTTGGATGGGAATCAAGTCCAAAATGAAGTGATTTCGAATATGACTCAAATTTCAATTAAAGACCCACCCCCTGCAAAAAGAGGGTATACGATACGGGAGCACCTTTTTGATAACCTCGATCGCCCCAGTTGTTTAATTGTGAAGCAGTAAGACATAAAAACAAAACACATTCCAGGTTCGAGTGATTCAAAGGTATGTAACATCTCGTAAACATGGAACAACAATGCTTTCAATTTCGAATGCGGGGGTCACGGTGACAGAACTCATTATGCTAATTAAACACAGATTTGTTTGGGACAAAATAGCGCTGTTTCAAAACAAGAGAATCGCAGCCAAACACCTATGCGTCTAATTTTTGAAAGCAAATATTATGCTGCATTTCTTAATTATATAGAACTTTGCGCATACAATCATGGCAACTCAAACATAATTCGCATGCTGTAGAGAGTTTTGGTAATGATAGCCTATAGTCATGATAGTATAACGAATCAGTGGTTCTTGCATTCATTTTCTACACGTGTCTCGCTTAAATTAATTCATATTTAAGAATTTTCGTAATCGTAATCTGATCGTTGTACACTTGCAATTTGATTCTTGATTTGTTAGTATTTGCCATAGTACTAACCTTGTGAAAACTTATTCCGTTGGGTGGGGGGGGGGGGGGGGGACTAAGTGAAATGGTGGAGGGGATGCTATAAAAGTTTGTTCAATCTTGATACCTGTACAATCATGTAAATAACTATCTTTCTTTGATTATAATCTCATAACCCCCCCCCCCCGTGTCAATAAAATCTTATTACACCCTATCTTATCTAGGAACGTATTGCATGTGCCAACAACATTTTGCCGACAGAATGACAATATCTATTTAAAAATAATAATGATAAGGACTGTCCTGCCCCTTCCTCTCCCATCTGCTGTCATTGCCCATAATCCCCCAAGTGCAAAATAAAGGACGAATAATTCATGTTCCAAGTTTTTAATGAAATAACTTTAATAATCATGACTCTGCCAAGTTCGATTTAAAAAGTGTCGATAATCCCCTTCAGTTTCATCCGTTGCATGGAATCGGGACTTTTTATCAGTTGAATTTCTTCCTCTTTCATGTAACTTCCTTGTCTGTAAAAGGTTACCTGGTATGAAGCTTTACTAGACTTCCTCTCTTAATTACCTCTTACACGATCTCTTTCCGTCCTCTCCCTCTCTCTCTCTCTCTCTCTCTCCCTCTCTCTCCTCTCTCCCATCTCCCTCTCCCTCTCTCTCTCTCTCTCTCTCTCTCTCTTCTCTCCCATCTCCCTCTCTCTCTCTTCTCTCCCATCTCCCTCTCTCTCTCTCCCCCTCTCTCTCTCCCCCTCTCTATTCCCCCCTCTCTCTCTCTCTCTCGTATTATCTGCCCCGCAATAATTGCCCAAGTTCATTCCTGTCTGTTTGTGCTTTCATTTACTGGGCCTACTTATTATACATACAAAATATATGCACTGCAATACTGTCAATATATATTTCATAGTCTTCAAGTATTGCGAAATCGAAAAGAACAGTTTGAAACGATTGCTTTCCATACACAGTTGTCCTAGGGGTTAGTTGTCAGGGATAGTTGTCTCGAGGGGTAGTTGTCCTAGGGGTAGTTGACTGGGGATGGTTATCCGGGGATGGATGTCCAGGGGGTAGGTGTCCTGGAATCGGGGGGGGGGGTGGTCGTCCATGCACCTGGAAGCGTCTTATCCACTTCAAAAATGTATGACAATTAAAAACAGGCAAGTAAACAAAGAAACAAACAAATTACAAACAATCACCACCACCACCACTAACAACACCACCAACAACAACACCACCACCAACAACGACAACACCACCACGAACAACACCACCACCACCACTAACAACACCACCAACAACAACACCACCACCAACAACGACAACACCACCACCAACAACACCACCACCAACAACAACAACAACACCACCAACAACAACAACACCACCACCACTAACAACAACACCACCACCAACGACAACACCACCACGAACAACACCACCACCACCACACTAACAACAACACCACCACCAACGACAACACCACCACCAACAACACCACCACCACCAACAACAACAACAACAACACCACCAACAACAACAAAAAAACCACCAACAAAAACAAGGTGATGACTGGCCTTTTTCCCCTTCTGAAAGGAACACTGGCACTATCATAGTTTCATTGACATGTTCTAACATGAACAGATGACATTTAATAATAATAATAATAATATTGGATTCTTATATAGCGCACGTATCGACCTTGCAAGGTCCTCAATATTCAATTTCGACAGCATATTCTGTCCATCCGAAAATTTCCTTGTTCTGTTGTTTCCTCATCGATCGATAGCTATTATGAACTTTCTTGTCGATATGACCTATAATGACCTTGTTATCTCCGCGTTTTTAGTATGCATAATTATACACATTGAGAAGAAATTGATTCGTTTTACCTTAACTTCTTGAAAGTTGGAAGTTGTCTCTGCATGCCTGTTACGGGGAAAACCACTTATATAAGTTTCGCAATGAAAAGGAAAGCATGCTTTTCTCTCCTATGAGGTTATTATTTGTATTGGCAATAGCAAAAAAAGGAAATCCAAGTGTACATATATCCAGGTTTTTCAAAGAAAAAGAAAGTGAGGTTTCTATATACAAATGTTATGTTATGATGTATGTGTGTGTATGGTGGTGGTGGTGGTGGGGGGGGGGTGTGGTGGAGGGGAGGGGTGTCAATATATAAAAATCGCTACATTTGATTTTGTCAGTCTGCCTGACTTCAACCCTTCTCTCTCTCTCTCTCTCTCTCTCTATATATATATATATATATATAAACTATATCTTTGTTCCCTCCTTCATGAAATTTCTCTCACTCTTCTCCACCTCTCCTCTGTTTAATTTATACTCCATGCACCTGGAAGCGTCCAATCCCCTTAAAATGTGCGACAGTTAAAAACAGGCAAGCAAACAAACAAACAAGTTACAAACAACCACCACCACCATCATCAACAACACCAACAACAACAAGGTGATGAATGGCCTTTTATCTTTTCTGGGTTTTTTCCCTTCTGATATGAACACTGGCATTGTTACAGTTTCAATAACATTTTCTAACATGAAGAAATGACAATTGCGCAATATTCAATTTCGACAGCATTCTGTCCACCCGAAATTTCCTCGTACTGTTTCCTCGTGGATCGATCGCAACCTTCTTGTCGATATGA